TCAGGGCAACACCAAACCCAGGTGACCCCATCACCAGCCCAGCTCCCAGAGCTCAGCCTTCACCTTCCTCCCACAGCCACAGCCCAGCTCCTCCAGCTCCCTGGGATGCTCTGGGAAGGCTGAGCTGGGGCAGAGTCCCAGAAGAAAGCAGGGATTTATTCAAGGATCTCCTCCATGGATCCACCTTGGGCAGCACCAGAGCCCAGCCAGGGCTGCCCCAAATGAACCAAAATGGTCCCAAAATTCACAAGCGCTCCCGGGGGCTCTCCCTGGGATCAGTTCTGCTCCATTGGCACCTTGGAGTTCATTGTCCCATTCCAGCTTTAGCCCAGGCAGTCCCACCCTGCTTGTTTTTCTCTCTCCAGCCCACGGTGTTTGTGCTCCTGGGCTGAGATTTGGATCATTGTCCTTGGTGCCCAGCTGGAGCAGGAATTGTTTTGTGTCTCTGCTCTGTGCAGAGAGCTCAGCATCCCCTGATATGGAGCCCAGACCCAGCTCAGCATCCCCTGATATGGAGCCCAGACCCAGCTCAGCATCCCCTGATATGGAGCCTAGACCCACACACTAAAGCAGCACAGAATGTGAAAAATATAAAATCCAAACCTGAGGCATCACCTGCTCCAGAGCTGCCCCAGCAGTGCCAGAGGATGCCCAGCTCTGTGCCAGGGTGGGCTCCAGGCTGTGGAGCAATCCCAGCTTCCCACTCCGGGAGCTGATGGGGCACCCCAAGGTTGGCTGAGAGAGGGAATGAGGGGAAGGGCAGATGCTGGAACGTTCAGCCACGCTGCAGAATTGCTCCAGGAAATTGCTGAGGCAAATTAAGCTCCCTCATTTCTCCCTGTTTTCCAGGCTATCCAATTTTTCGGCGTGGGACATCAGCCACAGCCACTTCTCTCCCAATTACTCAACTTCCAAGTGAAGCCTTCTGCTCTCACAGCATTTTGCTAAGATGGGAACTGATGTTTCCCATTCCTTCCCTCTCTCCCAAATCCTGGTAACTCCCAAATTAATTAGGGCATATTGGGGCTTTATGGTTATTTCTCCTTTATGCTCCTGCTGCTGGAGACTCCAACAAAACCCACGGAGTTACAAAACCTCACTGTAAAATAAATCCCAGGAGGCTGTGCCCTGCCCTAAACAGAGTTTAGGACATCTCACCTCTCCTTTCTCCTTGAAAAACAAAAACTAAAAAATATGGAATAAGAATAAAACAAGAATAAAACCTTCATTTTGCTTCTGTATAAAGGAAATAGTGATGCTTTAGACACATTGTGTGAGGAAGACCTGACAGAGGAATTATCTGCCAGAGATAACCACTTGTACTTTGTAATATTTAGGTTCAAAATATACAAAACTAAGGATTTGAGGTCTACATAATTTAACAAAGCTGCTTTAATTTAACTGGCTGGCAAAGCACATCCAGTCATTCCAAAGGAAATCCTTCACCTAAGGAAAGATCTCCTCAGAGGAGTCTCTGCAGGCTCTGATGGAGCCCAAAGATGCAGCACAAAGCAGAACCTTTAAAAGTCTTTTGGACTGACCAGTGAATAATTTATTTAAAAAAAAAAAAAAAGGCAATTAAAGCAAATCTAGAGATGTCCTGCCACACAAATGTTTGGGAAGAGCTCAAATCGTGCATCCTCCACCATAAAATGGGCAGCTGAGTTTCAAACAATGCATTAAAATTGGATTTAAATACTCCACAGGCAGTGGCAATGGGTTAGTACCTGCAGCACCTGGCAGCAGGAGAGCAGCACACTCAAGTCTTTGCTACAGCAGATTTTACCTTTTCTTGACAATCTTCACCCAAACCAGGGCACGCTCTGCCAGCTGAGCAGCACTGGAAGAATTCCTGCTTCCTGCTGCAACGTTCAATAGACACTTTGGGCTTGTTTTCTATTTTCTCACATATTTTTGAACATGCAAGCAACCAAAAAGGAAAGCTAATTAACTGGTTTTGCCATATCTAACACGAGAATTTTTATCGTTCCTTAATTAAGCAAACAGCGGATCAAAGGTAGGGGCAGAATGAGATGTCAAAGAACTATAAAATCCCTTCTTTTTAGAACAGGAAAAACATTTAGATTCAGCAAGTTCTCCCTAGAAATATTGCTATAAAGTATTGATTTTTTACCAGACTCAATTGACTGAAAAGTTGTTTGTATAGCAATATTGGCCGAGCCAATATAGTGGAACAATTTTGCTCCACACAGTAATCAAGTGTATTTCTAAAGTATAATTATACTGTCATAAAAATAAAGCTAAGATACCTCTTCTCCAAGCCATAAACCACTCGCAGCTGTAAAGAACCCAAATAAATGAAATCCATTTTCTAACTAAAAAAATCCCTATTTTCTAACTAAACATAGGCTTGCAAAGAGAACAACGCCACCTCCAGCCGGGGGGAGCAGGAGAGCTGATCAATACTTCAATCTCAATAAACTATTCCAATAGAAGAGTTTTTCCATGAAAAAAAAAAAAAGAGAGGCTGGGAGATTTTATTTTTTTTTGCTCAGCCTCCTGCCACGCAGGTGGGAAATATTCCCTGAACACCAGGAATATTTCATTGCCACGATGGATATGAGTTGGGAAAAAGAGCTGGGAAGAGAGAGGGAATGAAGGAAAAATATAAAAAATACAAGGTAAGGATAAGAAAAAGATAAAAGGAAGGGTGCAGAGAGGCTGGTGGTGAGCTGCAGATCGATCCCCACTCGGCCTCTCCTCCCCGAGCCAACAGCCCCACGCTGGAGAGGGAAACTGCCCAACCTCTGCAATTCATCCCACCTGACAAATGGCCATTGATTTATGGGATAAAACACCCCTGGAATAAATATTTCTGTTTCCAGCTGGAATCCCTCATCTCCTGCTGGATGCTCTGCCAGAGAGGGAGAATTGGGAACTTTTTGGGAAGGGGGGGTTGCCCCAAGGTTGTGCACAGGGCTGGGAGAGCTGGGGATGTTCCCATGGAGAGGCGAAGGATCCAGGGAATCCTCAGAGCCCTGGGAATGTTCCCCTGGAGAAGGGAAGGGTCCAGGCAGAGCTCAGAGCCCTGGGAATGTTCCCCTGGAGAAGGGAAGGATCCAGGCAGAGCTCAGAGCCCTTCCAGGACCTAAAGGGGCTCCAGGAGAGCTGGAGAGGAACTTGGGACCATGGATGGAGGGACAGGACACAGGGAATGGCCTCAAAGTAGAAAAGTGGAGATTTAGATGGATATTGGAAGGAATTCTTGGCTGGGCTGGAATTCCCAGAGCAGCTGGGTCCCTGGAATGTCCAAGGCCAGGTTGGAGGGGTTTGGAGCACTCTGGGACAGTGGAAGGTGTCCCTGTCATGGCAGGGGTGGGATGAGATAAACTTAGCTCCCTTCCAGCCCAAACCATGACAATCTGTAAAATATCCACCAAAAAACCAGCGCCCATTCCCTGGAAAAGGCCGGAGTGACTCTTGTCCTGGAGAAATCCCAAAGTTCCTGCAGCTGCTGACTTTAAATAGGAAGGGGATAAAAAGAAACAGGAGGCACAGAAACACCTCCCTGACACAGGAGGGGATTTGGGTTGGGCTCCTGCCCCTCCAGGTGAGATTTTCCCTCTCCCAGAGTGCAGGGAATGCCACAGTCCCCAGTCCAAGCTGGGGATCCCAGCTGCACACCCTCAAAACACAGGATGGTGGCACACAGGGCCTTTATCCCAATCCTACATCCTCAGAAACACAGGATGGTGGCACACAGGGCTTTTATCCCTTATCCAATCCCAATTCCACATCCTCAGAAACACAGGATGGTGGCACACAGGGCTTTTATCCCTTATCCCAATCCCAAATCCTCAGAAACACAGGATGGTGGCACACAGGGCTTTTATCCCAATCCCACACAGGATGGTGGCACACAGGACTTTTATCCCAATCCTACACAGGATGGTGGCACACAGGGCTTTTATCCCAATCCTACACCCCCAGAAACACAGGATGGTGTCCCACAGGAGCATCCAGCTTTTATCCCAATTCCCTGATGAACCTTCTCTGCCTCTCCACCCAACACCAACAAGTCTGAGCTCTGAAGCTCCACATTCCCTCTCATGTCTATCATAAAATCAGAAAATAACACCATTTCCTCAATTCCTAGGAACGTGCTTCTCCAAGGAAAGATTTCTGAAGCACCTTCCACCCCCTAAAGCCAACCTGATTTTCAGAGTCCATCCCAAGGCTGCGTTTCCTCCTTGGAGGCTCTGGAAATCCATTTCCATCAAACCTTCAGCCAGGAGCTGTTTTGCAGTGCTGGCAGCCAATTAGAAACTAAACTAAATGCACCGTGGCTTTTAAAATATTTTAGAGGGGGGGAAAAAAAAAATGTTAATATCAAAGTTAAAATGTCTAAGGTATAAACAAAACCCTAATGGGATGCTGGGTTACTGTATATGGTAAACAGCTCTCTGGAGGAAACCTTTATTATTCCCTCAGGGCTTTATGACAAAGTATGGATTTCTTAATTCCCACAGGAATATTTTTCATACCCCACTGCAGACTATTAAGTCCCAGATATTGCATTCTGTAGTTTAAACTTTGCACGATGCAGAAGTGGGAGTTTTCTCAACAGGAAAGTTGTATCTGTGCTATTTGAATTTCTTACAGTATTAAAATTAATCCTGCAGGGTTGGAGCTTCTGCACCAAAATTTGGGGGAGTTGGTCAGGCTGGGAGGGAGGGAGAGGAAGCAAAAGGGGGTGAGGGATTCTGAAGGGGGAGGGCACTGCTGCCATCCCAGGTGAGCCAGCAGGAATTCCAAATCCAGGACATCCCAAATTCCCACCAAAAAATCCAACGCCGCGTTAAAAATGGAATTAAACACCCCAAAACGGCTTAAAACTTTACATTAAGATTTTTCTCCCTGCAGAGCAGCAAGGCCCTGCCTACACCACATCAATGTAAAGCACAAAAATCGCTGTGAAATTTGAATTTTGGGACAGATTTCAGGTGCAAACCCCCCCACCACACACCAGCACCACTCACTTGTAGACGGTGCCGCCGTTGCCGTGGCCGAGGATGTCTCGGTATCGAATGTCTTGTTCATTCATCTCCAGGAGAAAGAAAGGAAGAAAAACAAAAGAGATGTCATGCTGGGGATGGAAATGTCAAGGAAAAGCAACTCCAGGCCATAAACAACAAGCAGGCTGGGTCATTTCAAGTTCAGCTGCAAGAACGAGAAGATCAATACAACATTTGCTGTCCAATTTATAAAAGACGATACCAAGGGACGAAGTGATGGAAAGTTTAATGACAATTTGTTTGCCTGGGTCATTTCATTAAAGTTTGATAAAAGGTGTCAAAATGGAATGATATAATATAGCTCAAGAGGGTCAGGGCACTGCTGCTGGGAGGAAAAAGGGGCTCCAGAGCAGCAAAGAGGCAGAGCCAAAGTTGGAGGTGAATGGGAACAACCCTGGCAGCTGGAAAAGTTTGGGATTTCTCCTGGAATCAGAGCAGATTCTGAGCAGCAGCTCTGCCACAACTCAATTTAGGTATTTTTTATCTAAAGAAAAATCACTCTGCAATCCCAGTCAAAGTGATTTTCCCTTCAAACACACAACAAATTCTTTGCCTCGGTTTTTTCTGCTGGCTGGGACAACCGAGATCCTCAGGAATTCAATCAGGAATTCAAATCAAAGTGATTTTCCCTTCAAACACACAACAAATTCTTTGCCTCAGTTTTTTCTGCTGGCTGGGACAACCGAGATCCTCAGGAATTCAGCAGCTGAATTATTAAAATAAAAGCATTGTGCAAATCCCTGAATTTGGCATCAAATTTTATGTGGATTTTACCACAGCTTAACTTACGGCCTGAGAAGCAACTGAAATGTAAAATAGTTCAACCTTCTCCTGGACAAGCAGATATTCTGATTTCACACAAATTTTAAAAATCCCTCTAAAGGCCTTTTTGCAATTCACCTTTATACTTTAAAATAAATATTTTGAACAGAATGAATTCTGGGTTCAAAGCAATTTTCTTTTCCAGAAAAGATTCCTCCGTTGCTTGATCATTTTAAGCAGAAAATATTTGGGCAAATCCTGGTTTGAAAAGATATTTTCCTAGGAAACATTAACTCATTTTCAGTAATTACTTGTATTTTATGTGACACCAAGTTAAATATTTCACATGACTTGGCCTGGCTGCTTAAAGATGTCATTTTTGTGTATTAACACAAGTGATGATAACAAGCTCAAATGTCCCAAAGAGTCAATACTCAGCATTTCTAATGACCAGAAAATGAAATATTTTATTGATTTAGAAGAAGTTGCAAGGGCAGAAATGATTAACCCAAAATTGATGGTTTTTCCTTTCACTACCTGAGCAAAAAAATGTGGTTTCTCACTGGAATTGCTACACAGGGATGGGAAAACCTGAGTTGAGAGAACTCAAAGAAGGAGGTGATGATTTTATTGTTTATTTGTAATTAAACCTGGGCCAGGTTCTTTAAAGTATGTCAAGAGTCTACAGTGGATCCCTAAAATAAAAAAAAATTCTCTCAGGCTGCAGACTCGGGAATTTTAGGGAGTTTTGCTCTTCCAAGTTTTGCTCTTTGGAGTAAACATCTCCAAAATGTCCTCCTGAACCAATCCCTCTGAAGGAAATCCACAAAACCAACAGTAAATTTGTATTTCTGCACCTTGGTAGGGGAAAAAAAAAGATTTTTTTGGAGGGAATTCCAGGGAAAACCAGGAATGCTGGGGTGGAGGCAGGAGCTGCACAAAAAGAGAATAAAATGGGATTTACTGGCTCAAATAAAGGTGCCAAAAGCACGGGGTGATTGATTTATTTATTCCACTGGAAAACTGGATTCTACATCATAAAAGGTTTTCCTTATGGGTATTAAAGCTGCAAGCCCAGCTTGGATGGGCTGGGAAATTCAGGAATTCATGGAAAACCAAGCAGGGAGCACTGGGTGGGTTTTTGTAAATAAATAGCCAAATTCCCTATTTATCCCTATGAAATCTGGGTGGGCTCTTTGGAAATTAAAAGCCAAATTCCCAATTTATCCCAATGAAATCTGGGTGGGATTTTTTTGGAATTAAAAGCCAAATTCCCAATTAATCCCGGTGAAATCAGGGTGGGTTTTTGGTGAATTATTAGAAGTAAAATTCCCAATTAATCCTGGTGAATTCATGGTGGGCTTTTTGTGAATTATTAAACTCCAATTTCCCAATTAATCCTGATGAAATCAGGGTGGGCTTTTGGTGAATAATTAAAATCCAAATTCCCAATTAACTGTGGTGAAATCAAGGTGGGCTTTGGGTGAATTATTAAAATCTAGCCCAATTAACCCAGGTGAATTCAGGGTGGGCTTTTTTGAATTATTAGAATCCAAATTCCCAATTAAGCCTTTTGGTGAATTATTAGAATCCAACTGCCCAATTACTCCTGGTGAAATCAGGGTGGGTTTGGGTTAATTATTAAAACCCAAATTCCCAATTAACCCTGGTAAAGTCAGGGTGGGTTTGGGTGAATTATTCAAACCCAGCCCAATTAATCCTGGTGAAATCAGGGTGGGATTTTTGGTGAATAAAAACCCAAATTCCCAATTAATCCTGGTGAAATCAGGGTGGGCTTTGGGTGAATTCTTAAAATCCAAAAGCCCAATTAATCCTGATGAAATCAGAGTGGATTTTTTGTGAAGTTTTAGAAGTAAAATTCCCAATTAACCCTGGTGAAATCAAGGTGGATTTTGGTGAATTTTTAAAACCCAGCCCAATTAACCCTGGTGAAATCAGGATGGGCTTTTTGTGAATTATTAGAAGCAAAATTCCCAATTAAGCCTTTTGGTGAATTATTAGAATCCAACTGCCCAATTACTCCTGGTGAAATCAGGGTGATTTTTTGTGAATTATTCAAACCCAGCCCAATTAACCCTGGTGAAAACAAAGTGGATTTTTGTGAATTATTCAAACCCAACCCAATTAATCCTGGTGAAATCAAGGTGGATTTTTGTGAATTTTTAAAAGTAAAATTCCCAATTAACCCTGATGAAATCAAGGTGGATTTTTGTGAATTTTTAAAACCCAAATTCCCAATTAACCCTGATGAAATCAAGGTGGATTTTTGTGAATTATTCCAAGCCAGCCCAATTAACCCTGGTGAAATCAAGGTGTGTTTTTGTGAATTATTCCAAGCCAGCCCAATTCCTGCTGGCTGAGCCCGGCGCAGGGGATTGAGGAGAATTCCCAAATTCCCTTTGCAGGGAGGCTCAGGGGGGGCAGCTCCTCATGAACTGCTGCCACTCTATCAATGCAGAATCAATGGGTGGCATTTACCCTGAGTGACAGAAAAGAAATAAATATTTATATCCCATCACCTCTATCCACGAGGCCGGGCAGAAAGCTATTTCTGACCTGTCAATATTTGATTCTCTTGAAGAATCACAGCCCCTTTTTTAATGATTCATATCAATTCCTTATTAAAGCCAAGTGGAAACAACAGGGGGAATATCGTTAGGCAGGGCTCAAAGCAGAAACTGCCAAAAAAAATAATCAAAAATAATAAAAAATAATCCAAATAATCCAAAATAATTCAAAATAATCCAAAATAATCCAAAATAATCACCCAGGCCAGACTTAAGTATTGCTTAAGTGTGACTTAATCCCCCCCAGAATGAACAAAAGTTAAAGTTTCACCCAAAATCCGTCCCCAGTTGTGGAGCTGCGACCAAAATTTTGCAGGACACAACCGAAATAATTTTCTCTCAACAAAAATCAGATCAACTCCCACCAGGCTGACTAAAAAGTAGCATTAAAAGTGAATTATTTCTTTCTTTTTACTGTGTTTCAGTAACATTTTTAATATCAGAAGAGATACTTATTAATGATCTTCTTTTTTTTTTTTACTGGGTGTAAATGTAAAATTTCATTCTTATTTTCTTTATAGTGGGTTTAAGTAACAATTCCAATATCGTAAGTACCGAATTCTTATTTTCTTTTTTTTTTTTTTAGTGGGTTTCATTTACATTTTTAATATCATAAGAAGAGGCACTTAATCCTTATTTTCTTCTGTTTCTCAGAGGGTTTAAATAACATTTTTAATATCATAAGAGGCACTTAATCCTTATTTTCTTCTATTTTTCAGTGGGTTTAAGTAACATTTTTAATATCATAAGAGGCACTTAATCCTCATTTTCTTTTTTTTTTTCCCCAGTAGTTTAAATAACATTTTTAATATCATAAGAAGAGGTTTGGTTTTAAAATTCTAAACCCCAGGGAACAAATCTGTGAATCTCTTGCAGGGCACACCAGCCTGTATTTAGAATAAATTTATTCTGTATTTAGAATTTATTCTGTATTTAGAACAACCAAAATGCCAAATTCAGCCAACCTCAGGGAGATTTCACTCACATTTAACTCACATTTTACTCTAAAATAAATCAGTAATATCAGAGGAAAAAAATCTCACTTTGGGAGGGGAAAAAGATCTCATTTTGGGACGGGGGAAAAAAAAATCTCATTTTGGGACGGGGGAAAAGAAATCTCATTTTTGGCGGGAAAAAAAAATCTTATTTTTGGTGGCAGGGAAAAATCATTTTGGGAGGGAAAACAAATCTCACTTTTGGCGGGGAAAGGAATCTAATTTTGGGACGGGGAGAAAAAAAATCTAATTTTGGCAGGAGAAAAAAATTCTCATTTTGGGAGGGGAAAAAAAATGTCATTTTTGGTGAAGAAAAAGATCACATTTTTGTTGGGGGGGGAAAAAAAGCCCTCATTTTTGGCGGGAAAAATAATCACATTTTTGGCAGGGAAAAAAACAAATCACATTTTGGGAGGGGGAACCAAAATCTCATTTTTGGTGGGGGAAACAGAATCTCATTTTAGGAGGTAAAAAAAAACCCCTATTTTGGCCAGGGAAAAAAAATTTCATTTTTAGCGAGGAAAAAAATCACATTTTTGGTGGGGGACATAGGAATTCTCATTTTTGGCGGGGGGAAAAAAAAATCTAAATTTGTGATGGGGAAAAAAAAACCCCACATTTTGGCGGGGAAAAAAAGTTTCATTTTTGGTGAGGAAAAAAATATCACAACTTTAGCGGGTGTGGGGAAAAAAATTTCATTTTTGGCGGGGAAATCCCTCATTTTTCCCCTGACAACAGCGCAGGTGAGGCCCAAGGCCCGCACGGAGCTGGAGCCTCCGGCCAGGCCCAGGCCGGGCCCGTGAAGGCCGCAGCGCGGAGCTCGGAGCTCAGCCCGCGGAGCTCAGCGCAGCGCGGAGCTCGGAGCTCAGCCCGCGGAGCTCGGAGCTCAGCCTGCGGATAACGCGGAGCTCGGAGCTCAGCGGCGCAGTGAGGGCGCCCGAGGAGCAGCTCCGCGCCCAGTGACGGAGCTGCTCCGCGCTGACGCGGACGTCTCAGCCAATGGAGCCCAACGGGGCTCCCCGGCCAGGTGCCTCCCCCCGAGCTGGGAGAAATCGATGTATGTTTTAAAATAGAGTTGTTTGGTTTCATAAATATAAATAAATAGAAATAAATATATTTCTTTTTAGTTTTTTTAATTTTTAATTTTTCTTTGATTTTTAAAATTTTAAATTTATTTTATATTTATAAATATATATTGAAATATATGTATTTGTTTTTATAAATATAAAAAATTATATTTTATGTTTATACTTATATTTTAAAATATATGTATTTGTTTTTATAAACATAAAAATATATTTTATATTTATATTTATTTATATAAAATAATTTTTCTTTTATAAATATAAAATGTTTATAAAATAACCATATATTTATATTATAAATATATAATATATATTTCTATACATATATTATATGTATTTATATATTCCTGTATAATAGTTACAAATATATTAAAAATTGTATATCTATTTTAATGTTATATATATCTTTCTATAAAATATATTTATATATTAAAAATACATATAATTAAATAATAAATATAAGTAATATGATTGGCTTTATATTTTATATATATTTATATATAAACCATATTATAAATTATATATCTTTAAATAATTAATATTAAATATAAAAAATATGGGTTTGTATTGTATGTTTATTTATATATTAAATATATGTATATATTGAAATATTTATATAATTAAATATTAAATATAAATAATATTTGGGTTTATATTTACATTATTTCTATATAAAATCTATTTTTATATTAAAATCCATTGATGTGGCTGCTTGAGCACTGTGGGTTCCCCATCCCTGAATTTTCCCTCTGGGCTCCGGGATCCCTCCCAGCCCAAACCCCAAAGTGATTCCAGAATGGATCCCTGCTGAAATATCCCAAATATTCCAGCATCTCCTGCCCTGAACCCCACTGAGTTGTTGCATAGAAATAAAACCTTGTAAAAGAAAATTTATTTTAACAATAAATTGTAAAATCCGGCCTTATTGCTGCTCCAACCAAACCAACAGCTCATTCCTGTGAGCAATGAACTCCAAGGGTGAAAATCAGTTTACACACAACCTATTCTTGTGAAAAACCTTCCTATTCTTGTCAAAAACACAGATTTTGCACAAAAAAAGGGAAGGATTCTATCCCATAAGAATCCATAAAGAAAATACATAAACTACCTAGAAATAGAGATATTTAATAAATATACACACTGGCCAATGAAATGGGTTTCAGCAGATTGTAAACCAATTAAATTCATGCACAGTGCCTCCTAATATTACTAGAAATACAAAGTTTATTCTTTATGACACCCTTTTAATCCAACTCCACACCCACATTCCCCAGTTTGATCACTGAATTTTGGGATTATAAATATAAAGTTTATTCTTTATGACACTCTTTTAATCAAACTCCACACCCACAATCTCAGTTTGATCACTGAATTTGGAGCTTTCTCCACACTCCCAGATCAAATTCAGTGTTTTCTTGGGGGCCAGTGTTTGTCAGTGAAGAAATTACAAAATTCTCAGTAACCGGGGCTCTAACATTGAGCTAAGTAAATAAAAATTCAACTATTCTCCACAAAAAAACCCCCAAGTTTTAATCTCATTTCTACCTCTGCTGTGAGGCTGACAGCAGTGAGAAGTTAATTCAGTAATTCAAAATTGAGGAGCCTCCATCCATTTGCAGCTGAAGCAGATTTTGAGAAGGAAAAAAAAGCAGATTTTACCCTTTCCACAGGAGAAAATTCCTCCCGTGGAAATTTCTTCTTCTCTTTCCACGGGAGGAAATTTCTGTGCCAACAAAAGGAAATTTCTGCGCCAATAAAAGCAAATCTGGACCCTGAATGCTCCCACGAGCCCCCAATTTTGGGTTAAAAAAATCAAATTCCAGCTGGAAGAGCTGCCAGCAGCACCCAGGGGTGCCAAAAGGAGACGTGGCCGAGCCACAGCACCCACCTGGCCATTGGCAAGGATCTTCTTCAGCTCTGCAGAGGATTTCTTCAGGCTGGAAAAGAGAAAAAACCAAATTATGAACAATTATTTTGAAGAGCTGGGGTTGTTTCACTCTGCCCAGGTGAGGAACGGGGAGAAGCAGGCAGCAGGAACGAATAAGCAATGAATAATTAAAAAAAATAATTAAAAATAAATTTATTTTTCACCTTATGGCTGGTTTAGACACCTGACTGCACAACCTGGTGAGACACAACCCATTGCTCAGCTGCTCTAAGAGGGAAATTTAAAATAAAGGTGCTCCCACGTCTCAAAAAACCCCAGCAGGATGAGGCTCATCCCAGTTTTCATGTGCCACATCTGGATTTTGGGCTCCCCAAGGCACAATTCCAGGAATTCCTGCGGATCTCAGCTCCAGGGACCCCAGCCTGGAGCAGAATTCCTGATTTAGGAGCCCAGGCCATGCCCAAATCCCCGAGGGGAGCCCAGATTTCCATGGAATTCCCCATTCCATTGGGAATTTGCTGAATTCCCTTGGCTTTTCCAGGAGAATCCACTCCCAAACCAAAACCAACAAAATTCAGTTTAATTTCCAGGAGAATCTACTCCCAAACCAAAACCAACAAAATTCAGTTTAATTTCATCCCTTGGCTTTTCCAGGAGAATCCACTCCCAAACCAAACCAACAAAACTCACTTTAATTTCTTCCAAATTCAACTGGAAGAATTCCACGAGTTGGAAGTTTTATTCCAAGAGAACTTCACCAAACCCCAACTCTCAGCTTGGAAATGGGGCAAGAAATGGGGGGAGAAATGGGGGAAGAAAAGAAATGGGGAAAAAGAAATGGGGAAAAAGAAATGGGGAAAAAGAAATGGGGAAAAAGAAATGGGGAAAGAAATGGGGAAAGAAATGGGGAAAGAAATGGGGAAAGAAATGGGGAAAGAAATGGGGAAAGAAATGGGGAAAAAGAAATGGGGAAAAAGAAATGGGGAAAAAGAAATGGGGAAAAAGAAATGGGGAAAAAGAAATGGGGAAAAAGAAATGGGGAAAAAGAAATGGGGAAAAAGAAATGGGGAAAAAGAAATGGGGAAAAAGAAATGGGGAAAAAGAAATGGGGAAAAAGAAATGGGGAAAAAGAAATGGGGAAAAAGAAATGGGGAAAAAGAAATGGGGAAAAAGAAATGGGGAAAGAAATGGGGAAAAAGAAATGGGGAAAAAGAAATGGGGAAAGAAATGGGGAAAGAAATGGGGAAAAAACACTCTCCCAAATCTCAGGTGAGTTAAAGGGTGAAACCTTTAATGCCCTCAAACTCCTTTAAAAACTCACAAAATCCTGTTTTGTTTTGGGTTTTTTTTCCCTCTTTTCCTGACAAACTCTTTTCCTTGGAGCTTCAACACAACAAACTGCCAGGGCAGCAACGTCTGCAAAACTTCATCTCAAAGGGACATTCTGCTCTTATTACTGAAGTTTTCAAAAAAAAAAAAAGAAAAAAGTACAAAATAATATATTCTTGAAAGGGCTGCGCACGTGTCTTGATCACAGATCATTATTAACAGGAACAGTGAAAACACAGATTTCATATTTGGTGGCTTTGTTCTTTAATAGGCCTCTTGTTCCCACGACTGCTTTAAAGAAAAATTAAGTTTTCCAAGGAAACATAAGTTGATCTTGTCATCTTTCATGACTAACAATTTGTGAACATGAAACAAAGAGAGACTTTCAATTACTTCAAAAACAAAACTCCTGGTGCAGAAGGTTTTGGAAAAGGAATGGCAATTAACCACCAGATAAGGTGACAAGAATCTTCTAGAAGCTTCATTTTCAATGCACTTGAAGGAGAAGCTCAAAGTACAGGAGGTACTGAAAGGCAAGCGTGCAGAGGGACAGAAAAATCAGCTTTATTTAGCTCAGGCTGGGGGGACTGCAGAGCATATTCACATTTATTTTCCTTTCATTTAAGAGTTTTGGGATGGGCTCAAATATTCCCTCAGGGATGGGGCAAACTTTGCCAGGATGGGTTTGTTTTGTTTTTTTTTTTAATCTTAATTTTAAAAATTGATTTTTTTTTTTTTAATCTCAATTTTAAAAATTCCAGAGCCACCAAAGGGAGCAGCAAACTGGGTTTACTGGGGTTGTTTTTTTTTTTTAATAGGGTTTCCAGTGGGGGAAAACCCCAGCCCTGCTGCTGGAATCTCCCAGAGTGAAAATGGGATTTGTGGGGCTGTCCCACCCTCAAAAATTCACCCTCCAAATGTGCCCCTCTGATCACGTTCATCTGCGGTAATTCACTTTTTTCATCTTCACAAAATTCCCTTTTTTTTTCCTTTCTTTTTCTCAGGGAGAAAAGGGAGCAGGATGCTGATGCACGGATAAATGGAATATTGTCTGTGCTTATTAGAATAATAGAATAATTTAGGTTGAAAGGAGCCTCCAGAGAATTTTATTCCCATGGCTCAGATGTGCTCTTGTAGGAAGAAGATGCAGCCAGACCCTCCTTGTTTCTTTTTAAGGTTTTTTTGTAGGTTTTCACCATAACTTCCTATAACAATTCATGTAATAAAAAGGAGTTTATCCTCCAGCATTGGAAAAACAAAAAAAAATCTCTAGGAAAAAAAAAGAAAAAAAAAAAATCTCTAGGAAAAAAAAAAAGATAATAAGTTCTCTTGCATTTTAAGACCTAAATATGAGTTTTTAAATTAGAATTGGAATGTAAAAATCAAGATAAGGGGGATGAACTCCAAAACTTTGCTGGAACTGTAGGAAGCAGGCACTTTAGTTGAAAATAGCTTTTAAAAGTCATACCCCACACGAATAAATAATAAATAATAATAAATAATAAATAAGTTTATTATTTAGGCTATTTGTTGGTACAAACCTATGAGTTTTCAGGAAGAAACACCCAGCAAATCCTTATTTCTTCCTGAAAAACCCAGCAAACCATCATTTCTCCTTAAAACACCCACCAAACCCTTGTTTCCCCATCAGCAAAAACTAATTTCTCCCTGAAACACCCATCAAACCCTAATTTCTTCTTGGAATCTCCAGCAAACCCTAACTTCTTCTTGAAATACTCCATTTTCTTCCTGGAATTCCCTCCAATCCCTCATTTCTGCAGCTGCAAGCCCTAATTTCTCCCTGAAATGCCCATCAAATCCGAATTTCTCCAGCAGCAAACCCTTATTTCCTCTTGACACACCCAGCAAACACCAATTTCTCCCTGAAACGGGCATCAAAGCCTCATTTCTTCCTGGAATTCCCACCAATCCCTCATTTCTCCAGCAGCCAACCCATGGGGAGCAGCTCCATCAGCCCCAACACAACAACACCCACCGAAATTCCAACACCTCCCACCACAATCCCAAAAACCTTCCCACCACAATCCCAACAACCTTCCCAACGGAATTCCACCTTCCCACCACAGTTCCAACAACCTTCCTGCCACAATTCCACCTTCCCACAATTCCAACAGCCTTCCAACCAGATTTCCACTGTCCTGCCACAATTTCAACAACCTCCCCACCAGAATTCCAACAACTTTCCTACCAGATTTCCACTTTCACACCATAATTCCACCAACCCTCCCACCATAATTCCAACAACCTTCCCACCACAATTCCACCAACCCTCTTGCCACAATTCCAACAAACTACCCCACCACAATTCCAACAATCCTCCCAACAGAATTCCAACAACCTTCCCAACAGAATTCCACCTTCCCACAATTCCAACAACCCTCCCACCACAATTCCAACACCTCCCGCCACAATTCCACCAACCTCCCTGCCACAATTCCAACAACCTTCCCACCACAATTCCACCAACCTTCCCAACAGAATTCCAACAACCTTCCCACCACAATTCCAACAACCTTCCCAACAGAATTCCAACAACCTTCCCAACAGAATTCCAACAACCTTCCCAACAGAACTCCAACAACCTTGCCAACAGAACTCCACCTTCCCACAATTCCAACAACCTTCCCACCACAATTCCAACAACCTTCCCAACAGAACTTCAACAACCTTCCCACCACAATTCCAACAACCTTCCCACCACAATCCCACCAACCTTTCCACAATTCCACCACCACCCACCACAACCCCACTGTCCCACCCCAACCCGCTCCAGCCCGGCTCTCCCGGAGCCCAGCCCTCCTGGGGCTCCGTTTTGGGTGGAAATTCGGGAATGGGGGCAGGAATGAGGAGGAAGAGGAGGCTCTCACCTGTTGCTGGGCAGCGCCTCGGAGGTGGCCGCGGCGCCGCTGCCGGCGGCCCCCGCCCGCGTGTTCACCTGCGGCAGCGAGAGGAGCCGGTCAGAGCCCGCCCCAGGACACCCTGCTAATTAACCTGTAATTTGCCACGGGTTCCTCATTTGCCTACAAGGTTAATTAGCTCGTTGCTAGGCACGGATGTAGGTTAGCAGGCTGCGCAATTCCGGGGCCGCGGCGCGCTCAGGGCTTAAGCAACGCGCTGGGAAAGGTGGTAAATTCACAATTTATTCTCGTTTTAAACACTCAGAAATCACTTAATGCCTTTATGGTCTTCTCTGTGTGGTTGCAGGAGCAGTAAGGAATCAAAAATCTAAAATAATTCCGTTCCACAACTGGATAAATGACTGAAATCACAGGAGTGAGGTGGGGGTTTAAAAGCTTTGAAGTAGTGGCAGACAGCAGTTGATAAATGAACTACTAAAATTTAAGAACATGATTAGCAGAGGTGAAAAACAGAAAAAGGCAAACCCACTTTTAATAAAACCACATATATAAATATAGATATCACAGCCAACGTTTTGCAGATGAATCCTTCTCCCACCCTCGCCAAAGGAAAAAAAAATCCAGAATAATAAAAAAAAATCTGCTTGTCAGAGCTCAAGAAAGTGCAGTTTTATTTGACATTTCAATAAGTGGAACACAGCATTACAAATCCATCTAACTTTCCTGAAACAATTATTGAAATTCGTACCTTGAGGCCATGTATGTTCCGTTTCCCAGGAGGTTTGCAGGCTGAAACAGTAATTGACTAAATTGTAGAACACATCAGGGCCATTTACAAATTTGCTCAAAATGAATCTTTTCAAAAGAAATGAGGGTGACACCAAAATTAGCAGAGAGAAATGATTGAAAAGTGCCTGGCGAGACCCAGAGTGGGAATTACAGCCCAGGATTTTTAACTTGCAGGAGTGAGCATTTATAAATGCTAAGAGCTTCCTGACACCGTGTAATAGAAATTCTAATTTCTGCCCCAAACACAACACAATCCAGAGAACCCTTGGCTCAAACCAGGGGATTTTTTTTGGTAATTCAGATTCCAGCCTCGTGGTGCTGTGTTTTCACATGCTGGGGGGTTTTTCCCCCACTGGAATTTTACAGGGATATTTGCAATCCAATATTTGGGGTTTTTAGGGAATTGGCTGCTTCAGGAATTGGTCATTTTGGGGGAGGAATGGGGGAGGAATGGGGGAGGAATGGGGGAGGAATGGGGGAGGAATGGGGGAGGAATGGGGGAGAAATGGGGGAGAAATGGGGGAGAAATGGGGGAGAAATGGGGGAGAAATGGGGGAGAAATGGGGGAGAAATGGGGGAGAAATGGGGGAGAAATGGGGGAGAAATGGGGGAGAAATGGGGGAGAAATGGGGGAGAAATGGGGGAGAAATGGGGGAGAAACCCCAAACCTGGTGAAAGGAAAAACCATGGCAGGGGCAAAAGCAGAGCCTCCAAAAGGTAAATACTGAATAAATAAAAAGTAAATCTTGAAAAAAATAAAAGGTAAATATGGGGAAAATCATGGGGGAAACCTGGGGAAAAACAAATGGGGGGAAAACCATGAGGAAAAACAAACCTGAGGGGGAAAACTCAAATCTGAGGGGGAAATCTCAAACCTGGGGCAATAGCTGAGCCTCCAAAAAGTAAATACTGAATAAATTAAAGGTAAATATTGAATAAATAAAGGGTAAATATGGGGAACACCCAGGGGGAAAACAAACAAGGAGGAAAAACCATGGGCAGGGGTAACAGCAGTGAGCCCCTCTGGTACATACTGAATAAACAAAAGGGAAATACTGAATAAACAAAAGGGAAATACTGAATAAATAGAAGGGAAATACTGAATAAACACCACTGAAAATGTCACTTTTTGGGGACAGAGGTACAAAAGTGGCACTTGCTGGTGGTGACTGGGCTCAGAGGAAGGAGGAAACCTTTCCCTGGGTTGTGTCCAGGGGAACACTGCCACTTCTCCAGCCAGGGAGAAGCTTCTGGAAGCTTTTTTTGGGAAGCTTTTTTTTGGGGTCCCAGCCCCAGTGCCCCACAAGGCTGCGTTAAAGGGGCTGTCACTGCTGAGTGATGGCAGAAATTGGATTTTTTTTCCTGACAGCAGGAAGCAGAAGTGTTTATGAGGCAGGAGGACACAGGTGATGGTTATTAAACACAGCACCGAGCGCCACGTGCCTTTCCACCGCATCAAAAATCACCACGTGCATCCAAAGGGGGAAAATATTACACATTAAAAATATAAATATATTTATATGTATCTACATGTATTTATATATATCTACATGCATTTTTATGTATATATCTACATGTATTTTTATATATATCTACATATATTTTTAATATACCTATATATATTCTATGCATATCTACATATATTTTTATATATACCTACATATATTTTATATGTGTTTATAGATATTTATATATATTTATCTCTATCTTTTACCCATGTTATGGGATCCATGGGATGAGATCTATGGGATCCTTGGGTTGGGATGGAAATGGAATCCATGGGATGGAAATGGAATCCATGGGATCTATGGGATGGGAATGGAATCCATAGGATGGGCTCCATGGGATGGGATTGGATGGGCTCCATGGGATGGGAATGGAATCCACGGGATGGGATCCATGGTCTCCATGGGATGGGATCTATGGAATCCATGGGATGGGATGGAAATGGAATCCGTGGGATGGGATGGAAATGGAATCCACGGGATGGGATGGAAATGGAATCCACGGGATGGGATTTCAGGTCCTTCCCACCCAAACCATTCCAGGATTCCATGATCCATGCCCTCCAAGAGGCAGGAGACCCCTCCCTCCCCCTCCCTGCTCCCAGGAGGTCACAGATCCCATACCTGGAGTCCCCTCCCAGCCAGACAAACCCAACTTTCCCCAAAACCCAATTTCCCACCCTCCCCTCCAACTGCTGCCCCTTTTCCACGGGAGCACAGGGAAGTGCAGGAATCCCAGCCAGCCTCCTTTGGAGACCTCGTTAGCACGTGTTTAAGGAGGCTCCTGCTTTAATTGCCCAATTCAAACTTGAGAGAGTTGTAAGTAATGCAAGTGTGCAATGTTTAATTGGGAGCCTCACAGTGTGATTATTTGTGTAATATCAGTTAAGTGAGCAGAGTTTAATTTTTAATTATTTCAATTAATTTATTGCTGGGAGATTTACTTGGAGAATTTAAACCTTCTCAGTTCCATCAATTAAAAGCCAGAGATTCAGAGCCTGGCTACTGAGATCTGAATGAATTATGTCATGCAGGAGGATTTTTTTTTTATTTTAAACCATGGAGCTCAGAGAGATCCCTCCCAAAAAACCTCCCAAGCTGCCTGTGGATTTTTGTCAGCTTGGAGATGACCTATTTTTTTAACTGCCTCAGCCCACAGAATTGATTAACTCTCTCCCTGTTCAGGAGAATTCTTGAAGGGCTTGTGAATGTTTGGACAGCACTAAATGCCCAAATCTCAGACAAAAACGTGTCCTGGCTGGAGCTGCTGTGACAGACACGTCCCACAGTGGTGACAAGGGCACTGCCCAGCCTGTCAGGCTGATTAATGACATTAAAACAGCTTTAAAAAGCCCAATTTTCATAAGTATCCAAGTCTTCAGTTATTCATCTGCTTTGTTTGGAAAAAAACATCACCAATGAGTTCTTTAAATGTACTTAAATATGTACTCTGCAAACCTCGTTAGTCTAATTTACTCCAGGAAATTAGCTCTTTTCTATGCCATAAATGCACTTTTCTCCACAGTAATGAATTCTTCTCTCCAAATTAAGAGGTAAACACGACGCTCAGTGCATTCCAAGCTCCCCAAAATGTGCCAGGGAGCTCCTCCAGCAGCATTTTTTGGGGTTGCTGGGTGGGGTTTGCTCAGCATTACCTCGTGGGTAGATCTGGAGAGGCTCTATCAGCTGTCCATTCACCTGCTGCTCCATCACCGTGGAGTAATACTGCAAAAGAAACCCAAAAAAAGAGATGGCTCAGCAATCCAGGAGGGCTGAAAGCACTTGTGGAGTCTTGCATTCCCTGTGTTTTCATTTTCTCTGTCATTGCCACGGTGCAAGATCAGCCCTCAGATGGTTCCTCTGAAAGGAACTGAAACAGGGATCCCACAGATCCCTGTTCCACAAAAAGGAATTTAAATATGGATCTCACAGATCCCTGTTCCACAAAAAGGAATTTAAATATGGATCCCACAGATTGGAACAGAAACAGGGATCCCACAGAACCCTGTTCCACAAAGAGGAATTTAAATATGGATCCCACACATCCCTGTTCCACAAAAAGGAACTGAAACAGGGATCCCACACATCCCTGTTCCACAAAAAGGAATTTAAATATGGATCCCACAGATAGGAACTGAAACAGGGATCCCACAGATCCCTGTTCCCACAGAAAGTAACTGAAACATGGATCCCACAGATCCCTGTTCCACAAAAAGGAATTTAAATAGGGATCACACAGATCCCTGTTCCCACAGATCGGAACTGAAACAGGGATCCCACAGATCCCTGTTCCCAAAAAAAGGAATTTAAATATGGATCCCACAGATCCCTGTTCCACAAAAAGGAATTTAAATATGGATCCCACAGATCCCTGTTCCACAAAAAGGAATTTAAATAGGGATCCCACAGATCCCTGTTCCACAAAAAGGAATTTCAATAGGGATCCCACAGATCTCTGTTCCACAAAAAGGAATTTAAATAGGGATCCCACAGATCCCTGTTCCCACAGAAAGGAACTGAAACAGGGATCTGCTCCTGGCTCAGCAGGGAAATCTGGGAATGCTCCAGCAGGTGAGGAGGTGAGATATTCACAGCATGGAATATTCACAGCCCAAGCAGCAGCTGGAGGAGCCAGGAAAACCAAACATCCCCCAAATATCCCCCTAAACCACCCCAAATATCCTTCCCAAAACTGACTTGGGAATCCCAAAGGGATCTGGGATCAGCACAGAGGGACCCATCCCAAAGCTGTGATCCCAAAAAGTCCCTGCAGACATCCCGAGCTCCATAGGAGCTGCTGGAGCCATCCAGGGGATTTGTAATGGTTTAAAAAAAAGGCTCAGAATGGGCAAAAAAGGTTGGAAAAGGAGATGAGAACATCAAAACACAGAAAGATGCTTGGGTTGGGAGAGTTGGGAATGATCCCTGGAGAAATGAAGGATCCAGGGGAGCTGGGAATGTTCCTTGGAGAGAGGAAGGATCCAGGAGAGCTGGGAATGTTCCCTGGAGAAATGAAGGATCCAGGAGAGCTGGGAATGTTCCCTGGAGAGAGGAAGGATCCAGGGAATCCCTAAAATCCCTAAAGGGCTCCAGGAGAGCTGGTGAGGAGCTGGGGACAAGGGAATGAGGGACAGGACACAAGGAATGGCTTCAGAGTGGAAAATGGAGATTTAGATGGACTTGGGGAAGGAATTCCTGGCTGGGCTGGAATTCCCAGGGCAGCTGTGGATCCCTGGGGTGTCCAAGGCTTGGAGCAGCCTGGGATGGTGGAAGTTATCCCTACCCATGGGATGAGCATTCCACTTCTGAATTCCCACTTCACTGACAGAATTCCACGAGCTGCAGACACCCCCCCACACAACAGGAACATTCCTGATCCCTCCCTGGAATAACCAAGGGAAATAAACACACCTGAGAGCGCTTCCCACCCCCCAAAAATGTAACAGAGGGGCAGAGAGGGAGGGAGAGAGGGAGGAAAATCCCTCTCCATTACTCACCAGTGATGACAAGTAAATGAAATATCAATCATGTAAGCTGTCAACCTTTTGGGACAGCAATAACTGTTAACAAGTAGTCTGGAAAAATTGTCTGAAAATGACTTGTCCTCCACACGCCAGCGTTGGAGGTTTCCATGGAAAATTAAGATGCCAGTGGCTATTTGGAACATTGTTCAGGTATTCTTTTTAATGGGAAATTTGCCACTTATTGATCCAGAGCGTGTAGCCCTTGCTTTCAGAGAGCTGCAAGCAACTTTCCAATCAGTGCCTGTCAAAAAAATTACTGCCTTTTTATACAGATACAAGGCAGCAGCTCCACGGCCGTCCTTAATTAACTGCACTGCCCAGCACTGAAAAAATCTTGTTTGCCACCCCCCAAAATCGGCCTAATTCAATGCTTTTTTTTGCATAATCTGAGGGAATTCCAGACCTGAATCAAGTTCTTGTCAAATTCATAAATTAAAGAACCTAAAGGGAAGGTTCAAAATTATCCCAAATATCAGAATGATTCCAAATATCAGAATGATTCCAAATATCAGAATGATTCCAAATATCAGAATGATCCCAAAAGCCAAAATGATGATCCCAAAAGCCAAAATGATTGCAAAAGCCAAAAATGATTCCAAAAGCCAAAATGATCCCAAAAACCAAAATGATGATTCCCAAAAGCCAAAATGGTGATTCCCAAAAGCCAAAATGGTGATTCCCAAAAGCCAAAATGATGATCCCAAAAGCCAAAATTATTCCAAATATCTTCACAGTTATAACATATTCCAAAGTCTAATCTCAGGGAATTCATTTTTCCTCCTTAAAACTGAAATAAATCCACTTTATTTACATTTTAGAGAACACCTGCACCACATCAGAATTCCCTGAAATACTTTCCCAGCTGGCCAATCCTCCAAACATTTGTTGCAGGCCTCGAAATGAGCGTTTTTCTTCCCCAAGATGATGAAATTAATTCATTTCCTAGGCTCAGAACATTTGTTCCCTGGTAAACACATCCCAAAACGAAGCCCATAGGACGTGAGGAAGTTCAACCATCAGTGCAGCACTCAAATAAAAAACTAGTTTAAAACTGAGGAGAAAAATTTTTTTCCGAGAAGAAGAGCTGCTGAAGCAGAAAGAAGTCATTTCCAGGCATCCCATAATTTTGCAGGGAAAGCAGAGAGTTGGGCAATCAGAACTCTAATGTACTGAAACTTTAACAGTGAGCTTGGAAGCATAGCAAAAAAATGACCTTCCCCAGGCGTGATTAATCTGGAGGCTGCGCCAGGAAAATTCAAAGTTTTCCACTTTAAAGGCAAAAAAAAAAAAAAAAAAGGCAGAGATTTTCCCAGGAAAAGGAAAATGCAGCAGGAATTCTGGGGGGAAGCATCTCCAGGGAGCTGCTGGAGGTAAAAAAAGGGAGGGAAAAGGGGCTGAGAAGAGCAAAATCCTAAAAAGCCACATGGGGATGATGCAAGGGGTGGGAAGAGCTGGGAATGTTCCCCTGGAGAGGAGAAATTCCAGGAGAGCTGGGAATGTTCCCTGGAGAAAGGAAATTCCAGGAGAGCTGGGAATGTTCCCTGGAGAGGGGAAGGATCCAGGGAATCCCTAAAATCCCTCACAGGGCTCCAGGAGAGCTGGAGAGGGACTGGGGTCAGGCCATGGAGGGACAGGACACAGGGAATGGCTCCAGAGTGGAAAATAGGACATTTTGGGGGGATTTTGGGAATTAGGAATTCCTGGCTGGGCTGGAATTCCCAGAGCTGGGGCTGCCCCTGGACCCGTGGGATGGATCCCTGGGACGTGGGAGGTTTCCCTGGGTGGGATTTCAGGTCCTTCCCCACCCAAACCAGTCTAGGATCCTCTGAAGTGTTCCCAAAATCACCTTTGGGTGCTCCCAAACAGGGCCTGGCTCTGCCAGGGCATTTACAGGGGTTTTGATCCTTTGGTCCAGAGAGAAAATCCCAATTTTTTACCCTTTTGCTGATTCATTTCCTTTAAAAACAGAAGTTAAAGGATTTTTTTTTCCCCCCCCTCACTATATTCAAACGATTGTGCTGCCATCAGGAACTGCACCCTTCCCCTTCTGCAGGAGATTTATATTTATGGGATATATTTATTTATATTTATGGGGATCCAGGCAGATTTCACACACCCCTACCTACACCAAGGCACGCACAGCCACATCCATCTCCCCTCGAAAAACACAAAGCACAGCTTTAAATCCTCTATGAATATTGAGCCTGCAGCTACAATGAAACTCCTCTGTTAGGAGGGGTGAAACACTCTCCAGATGAAAGTAGATTTTGAAAAATTTTTAGAGCCCAGGGGTTCATTTTTAATGAGCCGTTACTTTAAGTACTGCATAAAAAATACAAGAAATTGATAGTCCATTTAGCCTGCACTATACCTAATGCAAAAGTCATTAAGATGCATTATTCTTAATGTTTATGATATGATCAGTAAGTGAACAAGTCTTTTTTCTTTTTTAAAGTCGAGCCTGTCCACGGGTCTGGCGTGAAACCACCTCTGTTCCATCCAGGAGATCAAAAATCTGAATTTTACACGGGGATATCGCCCAGTTCAATGCTGTGAGATGTGAAAAAAACAAGAAAAAAATGAGAAACACGGGGAAAAATCCAGATTTGTTGCAGGGTACTCACATAGGAGAGCATGGCCTTCATCTCCTCATCGCTCCTGACCGTGATCCGGTCCCCATCCTCATCCTCATCTGCCAGAGGAAGGCACCAGGTGAGCAAGGGAGGGAGGACAGAGACAATTCTGCACTTTTGTCTGCACTTAGAGCAGCAAAGAAAGTCAACAATCTAAAAAGGAAAAGGCCAACTGCACAAATACTCTGAAATAATCATGTAGAAATGGTGTAGAATCCCCAATTATTAATTAACAAGAATTGTGATTTTTGTCTTAAAAGGGGCACAAAGTGCTCAGAACTTCACTCTCAGCAGGTTTTTTTTACTGCCAGAACCTCTCCTGAAGCTGAGCACCTTACCCAAGCTGGGATTCCCTCCCCAAAACCTTCCCCAAGCTGGGGAAAAAAACCACAAAACCCAAGAATCTGGGAGAAAAACCCACAAAAACCAAGAATATGGGGAAAAAAAAACCCACAAAAACCAAGAATATGGGGAAAAAAAACCCACAAAACCCAAGAATGTGGGGGAAAAAACCCACAAAACCCAAGAATCTGAGAGAAAAACCCACAAAAACCAAGAATATGGGGGAAAAAAAAACACCACAAAACCCAAGAATGTGGGGGAAAAAAACCCACAAAACCCAAGAATGTGGGGAAAAACCCACAAAAACCAAGAATCTGGGGAGAAAAACCTACAAAACCCAAGAATCTGGGGAGAAAAACCTACAAAAACCAAGAATATGGGGGAAAAAACCCACAAAACCCAAGTATGTGGGGAAAAAAAACCCCACAAAACCCAAGAATGTGGGGCAAAAAACCACAAAACCCAAGAATGTGGGGAAAAAAAAAAAAAAAAAAAAACCAACAAGAAACACAAAACCCAAGAATCTGGGGGGAAAAAGCCAACAACATCTAAGAATGTGGGGAAAAAAATAAAACCCCAAGCAAGGAATTCAAGTAAAACATAAAACCCTCAAAATTGGAGTTGAAAATATCCTGGAAGCAGGAGAGGGATGAATTTATGGATAAAAGGTCTGGGAGAGGGAACAGACTGAGCTGGGACTGTAAAAAATAATGTTAAAAAGTTTTACTTGAATTCCTTGCTTGGGATTTTATTTTTTTCTCCAGATTTTTGAGTTTTGTGTTTTTTTCCCCCAGATTTTAGGGTTTTCTGGGTTTTGGGGTTTTTTTTTTGTTTCCCAGATTCTCAGGTTTTGTGGGTTTTTTCTCCCAGATTCTTGGGTTTTGTGGGGTTTTTTTCCCCCCAGATTCTTGGGGTTTTTCAGTTTTTTTCCCTCAGATTCTCAGGTTTTGTGGGTTTTTTTCCCAGCTTCTTGGGTTTTGTGGTTTTCCCCCCCCAGTTTTTTGGGTTCTGTGGGTTTTATTCCCCCAGAATCTTGTGTTTTGTGGTTTTTTTTCCCCAGCTTCTTGGGTTTTGTGTTTTTTTCCCCCAGACTTTCGGGTTTTGTGTTTTTTTCCCCCAGATTTTTGGGTTTTGTGGTTTTTGCCCCCAGATTCTCAGGTTCTGTGGGTTTTTTTCCCCAGATTCTTGTGTTTTGTGGTTCTTTTCCTCCAGATTTTTTGGGTTTTGTGGGTTTTTTCCCCAGATTTTTGGGTTTTGTGGGTTTTTCCCCCAGATTTTTGTGGGAAGCAAGAGTTGAACAAAAAAAAAAAAATTTCCCCATCCTGGCTGGATTTTTTAGCATCCTTTAAAATGGAGGAAGGAACCCTGAGAGGAGAGCAGGGAGCAGCAGATGGTGAATAAATATTGAGCAGAGAAATTCCCCAAAATCTGCAGCGAGTCAGGAACGGGGGAATGCAGGGTGGGGATTTCAGGATGCTGAGGGGCCAGATGTTGTCAGTGGGGTTTTTGTAGGGACGTGGAGAACAGGGGAAAATCTGGATTTCCACGCTGGGGGTGAGAAAACCAAAATAAAAAGCACCAAAAATCTGTCATGGAGACAATTCTCCCCACCTGAGGCAGCGCTGGAGAGCAGAACTTCAAGCAGAAAAATCCAGGGTGAGGAAAAAAGGGAAAAAAACCCTTTAAAAACATCAATATCCATATTTCAGCTGGCAGTTAAATGGGCTGGTGCAGCTGGAAATGACAGACTAGAGACACGCAGGGAAGGCACAGAGCAGATGTTGGGAGGCAGAACAAAAAATCTGAATTTTCTGGGAAACTCCTGCACGTGGTGGAGCAGGGAGCTCCAACCCAGCCAATGTGGGATGGCAGAAAAATATTAACACAAAATAACCCAAAATGAAGTGAAAAAAAAGGCATCAATGGCAAGGATCTGCAGGCTTGGGCAGGAAAAAAACGAGGTTCAGAAATAAAATTTGGTTTTGGGAGAGGAAAGCACAAGGTGTGAGAAGAAAAAGAACATTAAATAGGATTGGAAGGATCATAAATCAATATTTCCTCTGATTATCCACAGGCAGAATGAGCCCCAAAGCTCTAAAAAGGGGAGAAAAGCTGCTAAAAGTGAGAGGCCCCATCTCAAGTTTGATCTGTCTGATCTTGTCACCCCCTCCATCCAAAGGAAAACAGAGGGGAAATGGAATAAAAAATATAATTTCCTTTGAGATGAAAGGAAAACAGGGGGGAAAATAGAATAAAAAATATCATTTCCTTTGAGATGAAAGGAAAACAGAGGGAAAAATAAAATAAAAAATATCATTTCCTTTCATCTCAAAGGAAAACAGAGGGAAAAATATAATAAAAATTAAAAGGGAGCAGCAGGAAATGCCTCCTACATTGGAAGGAAACTCCAGTTTTTCAGTATTTTCTCCCCTTTGCAGCTGATTGCTCTCCAGACAGGACAACCCCCCAGGAACCCCCTCAAAAATCAAAATAAACAGCGTTTAAAAAACAGATATTAGCCTAAATACTTGCTGGGAGGATTGGAGGATTAAAAATTTTAAGCTGAGACCTACAGGTAGTTTATACTTTTCATTTAATTTGAGCAATAAAATTGCACTGAGGAGTAAGAGCACGGTAAGGTCAGGCTGGTAATTAAAGCCACTTTGTGGAAATATTCCAGATGTGATTAAATAATAAAATATTGCTCAGTTTGGTGCCATTATTAAAGTTGCATTAATGCATAAATATTTAACCGTGACGTATAATGAGGATCACTTATTTTGAAATAATAAATAGAATCAGAATATAATAAGAATTAACATAAAAAAATATTTATTTATTTAAGTTACAGCCCAGCAATGTGACAAAGGAATTGGCTGATGAAAGCCACACTTACACTCAAATGCTGTGGTCGTGGCATCTGGCAAAACTTGGCCAATGACATCCTAAAAATGTAAGGAAAAATCCATTAAATATCAAATAGGAAAAGCCTGATTTGCATTAAATCACTTTAATCCCTCCCCACTGCCCCAAAATGAGGAAGTTTTTAGGGCACAACACAAATCTGCTCCCATCATGATGTGTTTGTTTCTCCTCCCCTCCAGAAAAACTCTTTTCCTCCCAAATAATTCCCTCCTAATTGCAAACGGCTCTGTGCTCTCTGCTCCTGCAGGTGAAAAAAAATTCCATTTTTTCCTTGGGTTATAAAAAAATGGGCACTTAACTGATCAAAACCAGCCATAAAAAAAGCTCTATGAATTTTTATTTTGCTTTAAAAACCCATTTTCTCCTCTTTGCAGGGCTCTGTCAGCCTCACCTGGGATTGGAACTTCTCCAAAATTCGGGAGATAATTCAAATACTGAGGGAGAATTGATGCCCTGCTCCAACCCAGATGGTTTTTACAGGTACCAAAGAAAACCTTTTATCATTTTTTTTAGCCAAACTACACCAACACTTCCACTTCCACCTCCCCCCTCCAATTCAGATTTTTTTGCTGATATCAGTGAAAAGTTTCAATCATTTTCCAGCCAAAATTTCCAATTCCAAACCCTGCTCCAACCCAATTTTTTTTTTTTTTTTTGCAGGTACCAAAGAATAACTTTTACCATTTTTCAGCCAAAATTTCCATTTCCAATCCCAGTGGGTTTTTTTGGGTGTTTTTTTGGTGGGTTTTTTTTTTTTTTTGGTTGTGGTTTTTTGGGGTTTGTTTTTGTTTTCTTGTTTTTTGCTGGGAGCATTTTTGCTGCTACTAAAGAAGATTTTTTACCATTTTTCAGCCAAAATTTCCATTTCCAAACCCTGCTCAAACCCAATTTTTTTTTTTTTTTTTCTGGGACCAGAGAAAAACTTTGATCATTTTTTCAGCTTTTACCATTTTTTCAACCAAAACAAACCAACATTTCCAACCACATCTCCCTGCTCCAACCCAGATTTTTTTTCTGCTGCTACCAGAGAATCTCCTTGATAATTTTCCCAGTTTTTATCATTTTTCAGCCAAAATTTCCACTTGCATTCCCTGCTCCAACCCAACTTTTTTTTTTTTTTGCAATGTGCAGCGTGGCTTAATTGTGGAATTGTAAATTTGTAGAGGAAAAAAAATAGGGGAAAAAAACCCCAAAATATTTCCATGTTGATAAAAATTTTTCCATTCTCCAGAGTTTACCACCTCTGTTAAAACCCACTATTTCTAGTAAGAAATCAGTCTTGCCTACACGGAAGACTAAATATTTCTAAATCCATTCACTTAAACATTGAAAATTCCTCAGCAAAAACACTTTAATTGTCTTAGATTTAAGCCCCTTGTCAATGTTCATCTATGGGCACACAGATGCTTCTGTGAAATTAATTTTTAAATTGTTTAAAAACTGGATTTAAGGGGTGTGGAAGCATCAGGGGCAGCCCTGACAACCCCAAAATCCTACTTGGAAAACTCCAAACATCCCAAAGCTCTGAAATAGTGGTAAAAAAAATAAATCTGATTTTCCTGCACCCCTCCAGAATAACTTTTTCTGCATATTGAGACTTCTTTAATACTAATAATAAATAAGTAATAATCAAAAAGCAATGAATAACTAAGTAATAACCAATAAGTGAATTATACACCCCAAGTCTTGCACTAAATAAACACCAACAGCCCCAAAACTTTGCTCAGCTCACAGGAATTCTATTAAATGAGTTTATCCAGCAGGGAAATCCCATCACTGTGCACGTCCCAAAGTGGCTGCAGCAGCTCCAAACCATCCCCAGGCCTCGGGCTGAGCCAGGATTAAAGGATTATTCCAAATTTCAAAGCATTATTCCAAATTTCAAAGGATTATTCCAAATTTCAAAGCATTATTCCAAATTTCAAAGCATTATTCCAAATTTCAAAGCATTATTCCAAATTTCAAAGGATTTACACGTGCCCAGGGCATTTCCTACTATCACAACAGAGATCAGGAGCAATGAAATACAAAATATTCCCACTTGTAGGCGTTGCTTAAGTGGGTTTATGTAAGGGATACAGAATTAAAAACCTCAAAAAAATGAAGGGGAAAATCAGGGAACAGCAGGTGCCAGAGGAACTCCCAAATCCAAATGAGAAAGCAGAAAATGGGAAATTTTTTATTTACCCTGCTCAAATGCCAGGGTAAATATTGAACCCCCAGCTCTCCTGTTCCAGTTAAATTTGGTTTAAATTTGGTTTATCTCACTGTGACAAGGTGAAGTTACACAGAATTAACACCAAGTGTTAAATACCCCGGTGACAGGAGGAATGCAGACAGCTGGAGGGGAAAAAAAAAAATAAGCTTATTGTAATTCATTTAGTGGGGCCTTAAAAATAAAGCTATTTACTGGTAACTCACAGGCCTGCAAAGCTGAGAACTTATTTCAAGTGACACCTGCTCTGAAAATGAGGATGGAAATAAAACTTGCACACAGGCCTGAAATGCTGCACTCACTGGGAGGAAAAATTAACAAAAATCAGCTTAAAAATCACCTAAAATATAGAATAATTTCACCAGCTTGAAATGCTGCAACCCTGCACTTACTGGGAGTCAAAATAAACAAAAATCAGCTTAAAAATCACCTAAAGATATAAAATATTAATAATATTTTCACCAGCTTGAAATGCTGCAAGCCTGCACTTACTGGGAGTCAAAATAAACAAAAATCAGCTTAAAAATCACCTAAAATATAAAATAATTTCACCAGCTTGAAATGCTGCAAGCCTGCACTTACTGGGAGTCAAAATATATAAAAATCAGCTTAAAATTCACCTAAAAATATAAAATATAATAATAATTTCACCACCATGAAGTGCTGCAAGGCTGCACCCACTGGGAGGCAAAATTAACAAAAATCAGCTTAAAAATCACCTAAAAATATAAAATATAATATTAATTTCACCAGCCTGAAATGCTGCAAGGCTACACCCACTGGGAGTCAAAATAAACAAAAATCAGCTTAAAAATAATTTTAAAAATCACCTAAAAATATAAAATATTAATAATAATTTCACCAGGTTGAAATGCTGCAAGGCTGCACCCACTGGGAGGCAAAATGAACAAAAATCAGCTTAAAAATGAAGCTGAGCCGTTCCAAGCTCCAAGTTTTCCTGACTTGTCCTTCCTCACCTTCAGGGATCTTCTGCCACTGCAGATCCTCTGTCACCCCTTGGCCACAATGGCTCTGCTCACTTTTAAATAACCAACCTGAACTCACAATAATTATAGCATGGCAAAGGAGAATCCCAAGAATTAGGGGTTATTTTAATTTATTTTTGGGGGAAAAAAAAGGAAAACAAAAAAAGTTCTGGGGCACATCCCAAAACTTGCATCCATAGGAGCTGAATTAGGCTCTTCTTCCTTCAGGGTGGCTCCCATGGGCTGCTCTGTGTTGAGAAAACCCCATAAAATTATCTTTGAGGCTTTAATTTATATTTTCAGGTGATTTTTAAGCTGAGTTGGAGAAAACCAGATGGATTTGCTCCACTTTTAAGGGCACAGCGGGTCACCCCAGGCTTGTGCAACCACCAAGGGGAATCTGCCCCCCAAAAAACCTCCCTGGTCTGTCAAAGGTTCTGCTCCCATTCCTCCATCTACAGAAAGTTCTGGAAAATGCTGAATGTTGGGAAAACAACAACATTTTCCCAATATGAGTTCTGCAACCCTCTAAGCCCAACACTGAGAATTCCCAGAAATTTCCTCCATCCCCATGTGTCCTTTCCACAGGATCAACCTCCTAAAAGACACCTGCAAAATTTCTCTCTAACTTTAATAACAAATTAATAATAACAAAGTAAATAATAAACGGTAATATAATAATATTAATTATATTATTAATAACAAAGTAAAAACAGAAGGTGCCCGTGAGGGGAGGTTTGGGAAGGTTTTTTTGGAGAAATGGGGGCACACAGATGCTGTGGATGTGCTGGGGAGGAGAGGTTGCAAAAAGCATCACCTGCACCCTGAGCTGCTCCTGGGGCCAAGGACACAGCTGGGAACAAGTGGGATAAAAACTCACATTTCTGAGTGGGATAAACCATAAACATCCTCATTTCTGAGTGGGATAAACAATAAACATCCCCATTTCTGAGTGGGATAAACAATAAACATCCCCATTTCTGAGTGGGACAAAGAATAAACATCCCCATTTCTGCATGAGCAAAACTCCCACTCCCATTTCTGAGCAGGACAAACTCCCATTTCTGAGTGGGACAAACAATAAACTCCCACTCCCATTTCTGAGTGGGATAAAAACCAATTTCTGAGCAGGACAAGCTCCCACTCCCATTTCTGAGTGGGACAAACTCTCATTTCAGAGCAGGACGAACTCCCACTCTCATTTCTGAGCAGGACAAACAATAAACACTCACTTTGATTTCTGAGTAGAATAAACACCCACTCCCATTTTTGAGTGGGATAAAAACCCATTTCAGAGCAGCACAAACACTCACTTCCATTTCTGAGCGGGACAAACACCCACTCCCATTTCTGAGAAGGATGAACTCCCACTCCCATTTCTGAGTGGAATAAAAATCCATTTCTGAGCGGGACAAACACCCACTCCCATTTCTGAGTAGGACAAACTGCTATTTCTCAGCAGGATAAAATGCCATTTCTGAGTGGGACAAACAAACTCCCACTCCCATTTCTGAGTGAGATAAAAATCCATTTCTGAGCAGGACAAACACCCACTCCCATTTCTGAGCAGGACAAACTCCCACTCCCATTTCTGAGTGAGATAAAAATCAATTTCTGAGCGGGACAAACTCCCATTTCTGAGTGGGACAAACAATAAACTCCCACTCCCATTTCTGAGTGAGATAAAAATCCATTTCTGAGCGGGACAAACTCCCACTCCCATTTCTGAGCAGGACAAACTCCCACTCCCATTTCTGAGTGGAATAAAAATCCATTTCTGAGTGGGACAAACTCCCACTTCCATTTCTGACCAAGCAGAGCATCCTTGTAAGAAGACGGACAAAAATCCACAGCAGGGAGGGGAAATGCCACCACGGGAGGGGAAATGCCACCACGGGAGGGGAAATGCCACCACGGGAGGGGAAATGCCACCAGGAGCAGCTGTGGCCGCACTTCCCCGAGCAGGGAATTCCTTCCCAAAGCCCCGCTCCTGCCGGGCTGGCACGGAGCAGGGGATGATGCCCTGACCCGGAGGAGTCCCTGGGAGCGATTTGGGGACTCCAAAGGTCCCTCCCAGCCCAGGGATGGCCCTGCCTGGCACCTGCAGCACGAATCGCTGTCCCCTTCAAGCCAAAACACGCCCAAAACACCTCCCGCCATCCCGGGAGGGATTCCGGCACCTCTCGGAGCACAGAGAGGGATGGTGGCACCCCCGGGTGGGCACGGGGGTGCCGGTGACACCCCCCGGGTGGGCACGGGGGTCCTGGTGACACCCCCCCGGACTGGAAGGATGGTCCCGGTGACAACCCCGGGGCTCGGAGCGGGGTCCCGGTGACATCCCCGGGCTGGAATGATGGTCCCGGTGACACCCCCCGGACTAGGAGCGGGGTCCCGGTGACACCCCACGGGCTGGGAAAGGGGGTCCCGGTGACACCCCCGGGCTGGCACAGGGGGTCCCGGTGACACCCCCCGGGCTGGAATGATGGTCCCGGTGACACCCCTCGGGCTCGGAGCGGGATCCCGGTGACACCCCCGGGCGGTCCCGCTCCCGGTCCCGGTGACACCCCCCGGGCTAACAGAGGGGTCCCGGTGACACCCCCCGAACTAGGAGCGGGGGTCCCGGTGACACCCCCCGAGCTGGGACAGGGGGTCCCGGTGACACCTCCCGAACTGGAATGATGGTCCCGGTGACATCCCCGGGGCTCGGAGCGGGGTCCCGGTGACACCCCCTGGGCTGGAAGGATGGTCCCGGTGACACCCTCGGGCTGGAATGATGGTCCCGGTGACACCCCCGGGACTACAAGGATAGTCCCGGTGACACCCCCGGGCGGTCCCGCTCCCGGTCCCGTTCCCGGTGCCGTTGGGAGCCGCTCACCAGCACGTCCCTGAAGAGCAGCTGCGGTGCCGAGTGCACGGTCCAGTCCACGGCGGCTCCGTCGGGCACCCTGATGCGGATGACGAGCGCCCGGCTGTCCATGGCGCCGCAGGGGCCGCAGAGCAGCCAGAGCATCCCCGCCCCGCGGGCTCACATGCTGCGGCTGCCGGGCCGGGCCGGGCCGAGCCGGGCAGGGCCGAGCCGGGCAGGGCCGTGCCGTGCCGGGCCGGGCCGAACCGAACAGGGCTCACCCCGCACCGCCTCCCGCAGGAAGGAGCCGCTGCCCCGGAACCAAAGCGGAGCCCCGGGAGGAGGAGGAGGAGGAGGAAGGGGAGGCGGTGCCGTGGGCGGGAGGAGGCGGTCCCGGCCCCGCGTTGGTTTAATTGTTTTGGGTTTCTGTGCTGTGTTTTGACAGGGTTGGTGCTGTTAAATGGCGATTCCAGGCGGGATCCGCGCTGGGAGCTCCGGAGGGACGGGCCGGGGCTGCTCCGGCGGGGCTCGGCCCGGCTGGGCCATCAACAACAAAAACCCAGACACACAAACCCAAACTCAAACCCAAACAGAAAAACTCAAACACAAACCCAAACACAAAAACCTGAACACAAACCCAAACACAAAAACCCAAACACAAACCCAAACAGAAAAACTCAAACAGAAAAACTCAAACCCAAAAACCCAAACACAAACCCAAACACTAAAACCTGAACACAAACCCAAACAGAAAAACCCAAACACAAACCCAAACAGAAAAACTCAAACCCAAAAACTCAAACACAAAAACTGAAACCCAAACACAAGATCCCAAACGCAAAAACACGAACACAAACACCCAAAGATGAAACCAAACACAAAAACTCAAAACACAAACAGTCAAACACAAAAACTCACACCCAAAAACACAAATACAAAACCCAAACACAAAAACTCAAACACAAAAACTGAAACGCAAAAACTCAAATAGAAAAACCCAAACAGAAAAACCCAGAGAAACCCAAAGAGAAAAACCCAAACACAAAAACTCCAACACAAAAAGTCAAACCCAAACCCAAAAACCCAAACACAAAAACGCAAACACAAACACTCAAACACAAAGACCCAAACCCAAAAACCTGAACACTGGGTACTGGGAATGGCACTGGGAATGGGCACTGGGATGGGCACTGGGACAGCCCAACCCTGCCAACCCCTGATGTCCAGCCCCAATTCTGCCAGGGATGCAGCTGAAACCAGCCCAGTCCAAGCCGTGACCCGTCGTTCTGCTGGCAGAAAATCTCTGCCCACCTCAGCACCAAAGTGTTTTGACAGCTCTGCAATCACAAAAAGCCAAATTCAGCTTTTAAAACAAACTTTTCCCTGCCACAAGGCACAGGGAGAGCTCTGCTCCACACAGCTCTGCCACATAAAACCATCCACTTTATTTTTTTTTGGATAGAACAGCATTAATCTCAATTGTGGGCTATTGATCCGTGCATTTTATCACACTCTCTCACATTATCATCTCTGACAAACTGGACTATTTGAGTTATTTTATCAATTTAGAGGGGGGGGAATGGGAGGTATTTTTAATTCCTGAAACGTCTTCAAGCTTCTTCATATTTGAATTCTACTTAGTTTGCGCTTTAGGAAAAAAAAAAAAATTCAATGGCCATTAACAGAGATAAATTCTCTCTCTGTTCAATAACTTTATAATTTAGTTCCTATACTAAAAATTAATAGAGCCCCAGCTCCTAAGGATCTGAGGGACTGGTGGTGCCCACACAGACATCTTTCTGCTCAAATGAACCTTTTACCTGCAGTCCCTGTGTACCTTTCACTCAGCTCCATTTCAATCAGACTCATTTTCTATTAAATTTTAAAGAATAGGACACAAAATGATGGAATTTCTATAGACCTGCAATTTTTCTAAAATGTCTTCTTCATTTATGAGACTATGGGGAAAACCAACTCAATTTGCCAAATTTGCATAAATATTACGTTGATTTTTCAGGGCTAATCATAACCTTAATCTCCCGTTCTGATTTGTGTAATCAAACTTGAAGGGTTTTTATATCTTAAGAAGTACAGCACATGAAGCACATATTTATTGATACAGGTTTGGTTTTGCCACAGACTTCTTTAAAACCCGAGTTTAATCAGAAATTTTCAGTTGAAATAAACAAATTGCTGATATTTATTTTATCATGCCGCAGAAGTTTTGCTATGAGATGTCACCAACATTGATTTTTATATATTATTTTTTAATGGTGGGGGGAAAATTGGTGTTGCAATAACACAATCCATGATTTTTTTTAATATAAAATTCTCTTGAAGTTCTGCATTTGAGTAGCCCAAGAACCTCTCCTTAAAAAGTTCAAGTTCCTAGTAGAAGGATTCTAGAAACCCCGTTAAAAATCATTTAAATAATTGATTACAACACAACATTAATAACCACATCACCAAAGTTATCCTTCAGGGAATGCCACCTATTGTAAATGCAGTGAACCCAATGGGGAAAAATGATGAGTCTGACTCAATTCAGAAGGCTGAATGATTTCTTTATGATAAATATGCTAAAATACATTAATATGCTATAGAAAAGGAGGATACTCAAACTAAATACTATTTTCTCTGACTCTAACACAACTCCTGACCCTCTCTGAGCCCAGCCCCAGGTGGGTTGGGTTGGATTGGATTGGGTTGGATTGGGTTGGGTTGGGTTGGATTGGGTTGGGTTGGGTTGGGTTGGATTGGGTTGGGTTGGGTTGGATTGGGTTGGATTGGGTTGGATTGGGTTGGGTTGGGTTGGATTGGGTTGGATTGGGTTGGATTGGGTTGGATTGGATTGGATTGGATTGGGTTGGATTGGGTTGGGTTGGATTGGGTTGGATTGGGTTGGGTTGGATTGACCATCAACTCAAACAATCCTCACCAGAACCCAACCAAGCAACACCCCAGGGAAACAATTCTCCACACACATTCCACATGGGAAAAACAAGGAGCAGAAATAGAAATTGTTTTCTCTTTCTTCTCTCTGTGCTCCTCTATGAAAAATCCTGAGGGAGAGAAAAATGTGCTGCCACAGCCACCCAAAATGCAAAACAAATGGAAACCCAAAACACAAAGGAATGATGTAGCAATGCTTTAATTAGAGGATGGTGAATCCAGGACTCCTGGAAATTCAGGATTTGGTGTGTGAGGGGGACAGAGCCTCCCTTGGTGGCTGCCAGCTGCTGCCACTCGCAGTGTGCTGCTGCTCTCTGCTGCTTCCCAGCGCCGCTGGGAGCATCCCGAGCTGGCCAGGAAATCCAAATCAAAATAAATATTTCTGTCTTTCCAGAGTGCTGACACAGGAAGGAAGGGGAGGAAAATCATTCTCATCTCGCAGGAGTCTCCATGAGGATGGAAAAAATGCAAATCCCGGTGATTTGCTTAGCAGGGTCGTTTACTCCACAAGTAAGGAAAGAAGTTATTACGTGGTGAATTCCCACTGCAAAGGAACTTGCCCAGCACAGGAAATTTTCTATTTTTGCTCTGTCACAAACACTCTGTAATGGAGTTTTGGGTCCCTCCAGCAGAAATCTGTAAAAAGGAAAAGGGAGGAAAAGAAGAGCTGCTTCCCCCAAAATTCAAGCCCTGCTGTTGAATTTTGCTGTTGCAGGATGTGGATTTGGGTTTTCCTGGCCCCGGGGAGGGAGGTGGGAGCTCATTCTCAGCAGTGGGATGGGTAAAAATACCCAGCAGTGAATTAAAACTGAGATTAGGATTCCCAGTTCCTCCAGTCCTGCACTCATCCCCTTGGATAAAAGGAGGCACAGGAAGGATAGAGGCAAAAAAATGCTGATTTCATTCTGGATCCTACTCAGCAGCTCCAATAATCTCATTATTACTAGAATTTTTCCAGCTATGACCTAGGAATAATATATATTAAAAAATAATATATATTAAAAAATAGATATAAATAATATAATAATAATCTAGAAAATATAATATATAAACAATATAATAATAAATATAATCTAGAATATATAATATATAAATGCTATTATAATATGGTAATGATACATAATACTAGAATAAAGTAATATAATAGAAATAATATAATAATATAGAAATAATGTATGAACTAGGACTAATGTGTATTTATTATGTAACAGGCTAAATAATTCCCATTTAACTATGAAAGTATTTTGGAATACTATTGCATTCCAACACCAGTGCTGTGCCACTTACCTGTAATTCAGACACTGAATATAAGTGTATAATTCACCAAATTCAATTTGTCATCCCTGCTTCTTCCCTGCACCGGTTTTTAGGCTGGAATTATAAATAACAAAGGACGAATTCTCAGTTTCCTAGAGAGAAAATGGCACCTGATGGTTGTTTTAGGAGCACACATTTTTCCTGTCTTTTTGGAAAGATATTAATGTCTAACTTTCTATGTTGATAAATAACATATCATGGTGAAATTCACTTTTTTCCCTTTCAGTTGCCTGTGAGTGCAGCAAACTGAATTCCCTCAGGCTCGTGAAAAATAGGTCAGCAGTGTCCAGGCTTTCTAAAGATATTCTTCCCTGAAAGGCATCTCCTGGAAAGACTCACCAAAAGTGCACCAGGGATAAATTCAGATTCCTTAAAAATGGCATTAAAACTTCCACCCAACTTCCACTGCCACCCTGCACTTTCTCTGGAATAAGAAAGGATTGTTTGGGACCCAAATATCAGGAAATAAATTCACCTTTTCAGTTCACAGGGAAACCCACAAACAGATATTTTAAAGCTCTTTTTTCACAATAAACCCAACTCAGACTGAAAGAAAACATAACAACAGCGAACTGGATTTAGGCAAAATTAGTAAATATTTAGTTTTTGCTTTAAATTCTGAATAACTTCTGCGAAGAAGCAGATTGTGTGATGCACAGGGACGAGGTAACTCCTGCACTTGGGCTGTGTGTGGTTAATGATGCTCCTGCGCCCCTTCAGACCAGCTCCAGGGGCTGCATAATTGTTTTTCTGTCAACCTATAAATTCTTGAGTAACAGCAAAATTATTGTGATTTTTCTTGCTAAATAATTCATATCTCACAAAGTACATAAGCAGGCCCATGAATCACTGAGCATGTAACAATCATATCTAATGGCATTTCTTCTTTTAGGGAACAAAAAAAAACCAGGTTTGACTTTGTAATCTTGTTCAAAAATCAGTGTTCTAATCTGATATTTACATTTTAAACTTGAAAGTTCCCTTGATCAGAGTCTGAAGGATTGCTTTTAATCATGTTTTCCACTTTTAATTCTATTAGGAATACTAATATCACTGCAAGTAATAAATTGGTTTTATAATGAACTACAACAGGGCTCATAAACTGTGCTTAAAGTGATGCAATTACTTTCAAAATCACTCCAGTATTTGACTTTTTAGGACTTAAATGCAAAACCAAGAAATCTTTCAAGCCAACTTGCAATATATTAGTGACAATCTTTATTCTACATCCCCTGGCTGCAGTGCTGAAGCTGCCACTTGTTCTTAGGTGTATTTAAACTGAAATATACAGCCCAAAATTTAAATCAGGGCTTCTATTTCCAGAAACAGGGAAAGGAATCAAGATGACTCTCAGAATTATGAACTCGCTTTTCTGCAGTGAACATGATTAAGGGGTTACAGCAAAAGCCAATATAAATTAAATGGCCACAGTAAATAATACATGAAGCAAAATCCCCTTTGTTTCAGGAAAAGTTGCTCTAAACCAGAGGCCTAAGGGCATTCAACTATTAAAAAATACCTAAATTTCATTCAATAATAATAACATACATCAGGGAGATCTACAATTATGGTTTGTGAGGAGATTTAGGTCAACACACAAGGTAAGGTGAGGACAGATTTAAATTCTGCCCAAGTCAACGGAAGGTCAGCAGGAGAAAAGCTCTGGAGATTGCTCCAGGGAAAGAGAGGGGAGCAGGAAAAGAACACAAAAACTGATTTTTCAGACAATATGGGAATACTAATCATAAATATTTAGGAGTTCCAATCCAGTCTTTAAATCCAGATATCATTTTACAGTGGGGAGAAAAAGTTAAGAACTTCGTGTCGAACTGGGTCCACCTGCATGTAGTTCATCAACTGGTGATAAAAAAAGTGACAGTAATTCTAAAAATATTGAAATAAAATGAACTGCCTGGACCACGTTTGCATCAGCAGCCCCAAAATTTCAGGAAAACAAACAAAGGCACCAATGTTTAAGCACAATTTGGAGACAGCAGCAGGAAAGGGCATTTCTTGGGGTAACTCATTAGCGGTGCGGAGTCTCAGGTGAAACATTTATCAACCATACAAAAAGGCCTAAAAGTGAAATATAGTAATTAAGAGCTGGGTTTTATCGATTGCGTGGCTTAAGTAATTTTTCAGAAGCCAGGTAAGATTTAATAAGTATAAGTAGTTAAAGATCCTGCCTTGGCTCTGCCATTAGAGTGTAATTGAAGCGGTAAAAAAGATCAGCTGAACGTGTGTTGATTACCACCTTATCTTTGAAAGGCAATTAAGCACCTCAATCATTGCAACAAGATTTGATTGTGCAGCCTTTATTGGACATTGATCTTTCAGCAAAGCAGCTGCATTTCCCATTAAGTGACAGCAGCAGAGTTTAACTGGGACACCCGAGCCCGCTGACCCGGCCCAGGGGTGACACCAGCAGCTCCTCCAGCTTCAGGTGCCCACAGAAATCATCATTATTTCAAGAGGTGCTACAAGGAGGAGCCACCTGATCCTGGGGGTTTGGTTTCTCTGGAGTAGTTAAGGGAGGTGAAACAAAGCTCTGGGACGTCATCTCTCCCTCATTTAAACATCAGCAAGGAGATAATTAAGGCCAGGCTAGCAGGGGGAACTAAACTTTTCTCAGAATGGGAGGCAGTACAAATCAGATCTGTCAGAAGTCAAAAGGGTCATTTGGTGGATCAATTGTTCCTGAGCGCTGCAGAATTTTTTGAGACAGGGTGGTACAAATCTTCCTTGGCCCTCAGTGTCTTGCATTCAAGCCAAAACTTGAGTGATAAAATAATAGAGGCTGAGAAGTTGGTATTTATGGCAAAACAGGAGTGGAAACAGTTTTACCTTTGAAAAGAAGCAGCTGGGTTGATAGTCACACATGAAAATGATTTCATCATTATTTAATAACTGGAGTTATCCCTTGCAAAGAGCTCATTTTCCCTCTGAAGAAGTGCAAGAGCTCCCACCCAAGCAATGAGCAATCCCATATTGGCACTCTGCCCTCAGACATCTCCCAGTTCATCCTTCAGCACCATCAACTTCCCGAGAGCAAGAGGTCCATTGATTTTCATGTAATACAAGAAAATATTACATTTGCTTAATTGTTACACAGTGAGATCATTGAGCAAGAGATCAGGGCTCTATTTAATGCTGCAAGCAGCCCGGAATTGCAGCAATCAATAGGGCAGTTTGTCAGGGATGCTCTCTGAGGAGCCCTGCCCATCACTGCAGGCACGGGGCTGCTGCTGCATTTATTGGAAAACAGGTAAGCCAAGTCAGCAGTGCCCATTATCAGAAATCAAACGAGCTGCAGCTCCAGTGAAGAGCTGTATTTATGGTCTGGTAATTAAAAACCATTTTATCAACCTTGTGTTGAGCCTAAACCTTTACAGCCAGGTATTGATGAGCTCTGTGGCAATGAATGAGCAGTATTTGACTTTAAACTTACGGGCTGCGGTGCAAATCAGCTCCAGGAAAATGCTAACTGCAATTTTTCTTATTAACGAGGGTTCTTGTAATGCCATCTCTGCATCTTTGAGACATTTAACTCGTGGCAAGAATATTCTCCAAAATTTGACAGCGCCAGCACTTCTCTGATGAAATAAAGTGTTCAGTGCTGCTTTTAGGAAAGCCACATGTGTTGCTTCATTAAGTGGGAAACACTTCTGTTATCTGGAATGAAGTTAAAAAGTATTTAAATGACATTATACTGCAGCCATAGCTTATAATCATTTACTGAGGAAAAGTGATTCCCCTTCAAACCAGCCCCTACCCATTTTACATTTCTTTTTTGGCTCCTGAGAACTGGAATGACCAACTTCCATCAGCAGCTGTGGGATTTGGAACTGACATTCCATTAATTGCTGGCACTAAATCCCAGCACCACCAATAGATCCTGCACAGGTTTCCATTAATTCCAGATTTCCACTATCCAAACAGTTCCCCAAAAGCTTTATTATTTTTTGCCCAGGTTTCCAACTGATATGAAGTTGTTTTGTCATTGTTTGTGCCTGGTTACAACTGGAGAAATCAGTTATTTTGCATCCAAAAATTGAGATATTCTTATAGTATTCTCATTCTCCCCATTAATTAAAAATACCAGCAATTTGTGAATTAGCACAGGGGCCTAAAACTTCTGCATCACTTAGATTTTGTACTTACCTATAAAGCAACCAAAAGAAAAATAACAACACACATCTGGAGCTAAAGAATTGCAAAAGATACAAGCATCAAACGTATTTTGGGTATTTTATTTAAATATCATTTCAAAAATTGTGATACAGCAATTCTGCACTTGTTTTAGGGTGGTTATTTTTCCCCACAGGCTCTTCCAGGTGATGGTGACCACTCAGTGCCAAGGATTTATTCCGACACAGTTACACCTGTGAGAATTAATTCAATATGAAATATCTAGACAGGCTCTACACCTGAGCAGCTTTATCATTTCAGGGACATTCTGAAAATGTCAGTGCATTCAGTTTCCTTGGCCACAGGCTACAATTCAGCTCTCTAAGTTGATAAATGCACCTCTTTAAATGATCACAAGTTTGTCCAGCAGCATGTCCCTGACTTCCAGACACACCCTGAGAAATTCTAATTCTTCAACTTCAAACCTCTGCAAAAATAAACCTCTCACGACCAAAAAGTCCAAGCAGCTTCCTGAAACAGCACACTGACTATGAGAACACAGTGGAAAAAACAAATTTTTTAGGTTTTTCACTCAAAGGCAGCAGGTATTTGCAGCACAGAACCCTCCAGAGGACATACTCGGTTCAGTACATGGCTCCTTCATCTTCTTTATTTAGAAAATAAATAGTGACTGGGCCATGGCTGGTGTGGACAGTCTCTGTGACACGGGCAAAGAACCAGGAGCCAATTCCATACAGTAAAGTTGGGATGCCTAAGGAGAGACACAAACACGTTACACACTCAGAGAGTGAAACTGCAAATTCAGAGCGAGGAATGGCGACTCCAAAATGAAATGAGAGGGGAAGTACCCCTGGAAAAGCTGCCTTAGAAATATTTTATCTTTATTCAAATTTATTTAAATCAGTGCTTAACACCTTTGCTGTTGAGGATGGAAGCAGCAATATGCAGGAATTATTAGAAAAAGAAAACAAGAGAACAACATGAAAGAAGTGAAATATTGCCATGTACACGTGATTTCTACTAATTAAATATATATACACATATATATGTCTCTTCAAATACTAAACCCAAACTCCCAGAATATCCACTTAAGTTATTGGAGTCTGTGTCAGAGCAGAAATTAAAAAAATAGGCAGTGAATCCATAAATCAACATGAAGCTGCTCTGGGGAAAATCAGATCAGCAGTCAAAAATATCAGCTCCAACAGAACTGAAATGGGTAAAAGGCTTATATATATATATTTAAAGTGACATGTTTTAGCCCTGTCAATTTATCCATCTATTACAGACAATATTCTATTTATTATAGAGGGAAAAACAGAGGTGGATTTAGGCCCTGAATTCAGAAACACCAAATTTGACATGCTTGAAGCTAAGTGCTTAAAAAGGATTCTGAGGGAAATGAATTGCCTTTTTAATCATGTTTTGCAAACATTTAAATATGAAACATTAAGGGTAGTTGTGAGAAAAACAAAGTTGTGACTGGGTGGAGGGAAAAAAAAATCAGATTTAAAGGTGCTGCTAAGAAATCAATCTTTGTGATTATATTTTCTCACTACATCAGTCTGGAAAGGTCAGTAAATTAAGAGCAGCAGACACGCTTTGAAAAAGTCACTGAAGACTTGCGAGGAAAAGGAAATTTTAAAAAATTAAACACGGAAATAAAGAATGCACGAAATGTTATGGCATTGGATCTGCAGCCGAAGTTTTGAAATAATACACTTCAAAAGTATATGTCTGTACTATATATATGTGTGTATATATAGGATATTAACCGTATCTACTTTTTGACATGAATAAGGTGCTGATAAAGCCTTTTTATGATAAGGATTTCTAAGCCAGCAGCACATGAGGGTCCAAGCAGCCTGACCAGAACTGCTCAGAGGACAGAAGTTGATCCCCAGGATGAGGAGAGAGGGGAAGAGAGGGACGGGAACAGGGAGAAAGGGGAGAGGGAGAGCGGGAAAGAGAGAGGGAGAGGAGAAGGAGTAGGGAGAAAGGGAGAGGGGAAAGAGGAAAGGAGAGGGAGAGGAGTAGGGAGAAAGGGAGAGGGGAAAAGAGAAGGAGCAAATGGGAAAGGAGAGAAAAGAGAGGGAGAGGAGTAAGGAAAAAGGGAGAGGGAAAAGAGGAAAGGAGAGAAAAGAGAGGGAGAGGAGTAAGGAAAAAGGGAGGGAAAAGAGGAAAGGAGAGGGAGAGGAGTAGGGAGAAAGGGTGAGGGGAAAGAGGAAAGGAGAGAAAAGAGGGAGAGGAGTAGGGGGAAGGGAAAGGAAAGGAAAGGAAAGGAAAGGAAAGGAAAGGAAAGGAAAGGAAAGGAAAGGAAAGGAAAGGAAAGGAAAGGAAAGGAAAGGAAAGGAAAGGAAAGGAAAGGAAAGGAAAGGAAAGGAAAGGAAAGGAAAGGAAAGGAAAGGAAAGGAGTAAGGAAAGGAAAGGAAAGGAAAGGAAAGGAAAGGAGTAAGGAAAGGAAAGGAAAGGAGTAAGGAAAGGAAAGGAGTAAGGAAAAAGGGAGTGAGGAAAGATGAAAGGAGAGAGCGAGGAGCAGGGAGAAAGGGTGAGGGGAAAGAGGAAAGGAGAGAAAGGAGAGGGAGAGGAGTAAGCAGAAAGGGTGAGGGGAAAAGAGAAGGAGGAGAAGGGAAAGGAGAAAAAGAGATGAACAGGGAAAAGAAAGCAGAAAGTGAGGAACGGGGGAAAGCGAGGAGGAAAGAGCAGGGAAAGGAGGCGGAGAGGGCCGGGGCGGAGCTGCCCGGGCCGAGCCGCGGTGCGGGCCCGGCCGGACTCACCGGCGTTGAGCACCTTGAGGGCGGTGAAGAAGGCGTCCTGCAGCGCCAGGTCCTGCGGCGCGGAGCGGGAGCAGTGGTACTTGATGAAGGGGAAGCAGCCGGTGCGCAGCACCAGGTAGTTGGCGCCGTCCACGGGCCAGTTGAAGTGCGAGAGGCCGAACTGGTCGTTGCGCACCGCGCTGTACTTGACGCAGAACGAGGTCCAGTGGGGCAGGCGGCGCTGCCGCAGGTGTTGGCTCAGCACCTCGGAGGCGGCGGGCCGGGCCGGGGCCGCGGCCGGGCCCCGCCACAGCAGCCGCGCCGTGCAGCCGCCGCAGCACCGCCCGCATCCCGCGGAGCTCCGCCCGCATCCCGCGGAGCTCCGCCCGCATCCCGCGGAGCTCCGCCCGCATCCCGCGGAGCTCCGCCCGCATCCCGCGGAGCTCCGCCCGCATCCCGCGGAGCTCCGCCCGCATCCCGCGGAGCTCCGCCCGATCGCGCCTGCGTCGCCCGGGGGCGGGACCGAGCGGGGACGGAACGGGAATGGAATGGGAATGGAGCGGGACACGGGAACGGCCCCAGGAACGGAGCGGGACACGGGAACTGGGAGGGAATGGAGAGGAATGGCCCCAGGAACGGAGCGGGACAGAGGAACGAGAATGTAGAGGGAATGGAACAGGAACGGCCTCGGGAACGGAGCGGGACAGAGGAACAGGAATGGAGGGGAATGGCCCGGGAACGGAGCGGGACGGAGGAACGGGAATGGAACGGGAATCAGCCCCAGTCTGGGCCCCTCGGTTCGAGAAGCCACTGAGGGGCTGGAGCGTGTCCAGGGAAGGGAATGGGGCTGGAGAATTCCCGAGGGAGCTGGGAAGGGGCTGGAGAATTCCTGAGGGAGCTGGGAAGGGGCTGAGCATGGAGAAAAGGAGGCTCAGGGGGACCTTGTGGCTCTGCACAGCTCCTGCCAGGAGGGGACAACCGGGGGGATCGGGCTCTGCTCCAGGGAACAGGGACAGGAGGAGGACATCACCTAAAGCTGCACCAGGGGAGGCTCAGGTTGGACAGCAGCAGGAATTTTTTCCCAGAAAGGCAGATTAGACATTGGGGCTGCCCAGGGAGGTTTGGAGTCCCCATCCCTGGCGGTGGCACTCAGGGCTCGGGGCTGGTGCCAAGGTGGGACTCGGTGACCTTGGATGGCTTTTCCAAGCTCAGGGATCCTGGGATTCCGGGACGGACACACCGAGACCGCGCTGGAGCTGCCCATGCTGAGGGCATGGCTCACCCCGAGCCCTGCACGGAGTGGGAGCATCTCCAAAAAATGGAAATGGCACTTCCAGAAAGGTTTTGTTGACACTGACGTGCTGGGGGAACACCTGCAGCAGCACCCAGCTTCTCCTGTGCTCAGCAGTGTGTCCACCGGCGCTGGCTTTACCTGGCAGAGCTCCCTAAAAACCTTCATTTCAAGTGTCAGACCCCTTCAAAGACGTAACTTTAAAATCACAGCCTATATTCCATTTTTCTAAGGTTTTGAATCATTTAACATTCTATTTGAGAGGGAGGTAAAAGTCCAGAAAACTGAGAAATGGAAACAGAATTTTTTTTTTCCTTTCAATAATTGCAAGCAATATCTCAAACTCAGCAATCTTAGACCATTGAGCTATCCACTATGAACATGCTAATTAATCAATTACTACCCAACAATAGGCCCTGTTTATTTACTGTACTACATGTGTGTAGAACAAGTAATTATTAATCATCACCAGCAACAAATTTCCCCTTCAAGTTCACCTCCCTATAATTAATAGAGCATATAGTTTAGCTTTAATATATTTCTTCAGTAGTGGTAATAGTGGCTGAGGGTAGAAAAGTTGAAATCTGGTACTGTGCTGAAGGGTTGAAATGAAGTATTGAACCTTTAAAGTGACACAATGCTGTTGTATTTCATTAATTACATTAATGAAGGCTGTCAATGATTGTAGTTCTTAATCTTTTGTTCTTCATTAACAGAAAAATCTGGAATCTAAAATGAAATTCATAGGGATCTGTACAGTGTAACAGGGGGTGCCTCAGAGCTACAGTAACCCACTGTTAAATGGATTTTATATGAATTTTTAAGGATAGCCTTAAAAATCCAGGGATTTGTTACCTTAACCTAGAGGGAAGGTGGTAAATTCCCCTGATCTTGAGGTACTGAAAATCTTCCAGGAAAGAGGGAGGGTGAACATTTCATTTCAGAAGACATCTGGAAGTGGTTGTGTTGATAAACTGCCTTTTTTTTTTTTTTTTTTTTTTTTTTTTTTTTTTTTCTCTGTGCTCAGACTTGTCATTCTAAATGTGGAAATGTGGGCTGAAAGCTTTTTTTAATTTCTTTTATCCAGGGCTTTAAACCCAACTACCTAAAACAGGAGACCCAGTTTCCAGCATCATCAGCTCCAGGTAGCTCTTTCAGGAGAACGACCTGGTCTGTGCTGCACTGAATTCTTGCTGAAACAAAATCCACCAAGTGCTGCCAGTTAAACAAACATCTCCATTTCCAGCTCTGACTCCTGGGGAGCACAAATACTTTATTTTCATTGTCTGCATCCTCTGCAGGTGCTGCCAAACCTGCTGGCCCTCACCTGCTTCCACGAGCATTCCTCAACTCCCTGCAGCTGAGGAGCCAGGCTCCAGATTTTGCCGAAATCTGGCATTTTTTTGGGGCAGTTTCTGATGAGAAACCACACCTGGGCCACCTTTAATCTTTTGCTTCACACTTGTTCTGTTTTCTTCCCATCCAGCTCACATTCTGAAATTCTGAATCTACAGTTCAACGACTTTATGACTCTTTTAATGAGTGGGAATAAATAATCCAGTAGTGGGAACAGAATTATACTCCTGATTTTTTAACAATATTATAATTTCACTTTAAATCTGCAGCATTGCTAAAAAAAACCCCACATTTTTACAGTTTTGGCACCAGCAGCATGGGAGCTGAATGTGAGAGACTGCAAAGAGGTTTTCAATCCTTCCATCAGCTCAAGGCTCAGAAGTGTTAGTAGTAATTAAAAACTTTTTTCCCCCCCTCCTCAAAATACATTTCACACTTAGCACAGGCTGAGAAATCTCTCTCACCACGGGAACTTTAGGGTCACTTGTTTCCTGCAAAAACAGGTACAGTTTTCTTTTGTCAGGGCAGAACAAAGGCAGAAGGAAGTGCAGGTTTCATTTCCTCCCAGGACACTGCAGTCTAGCAAGTGCCAGTGAACTAATGAGCCTCTCAGACCTTATGTTGTTCTGCCTTGGATCAAGGCTTCCTTTTCCTTAACCCTTTGCAAACCAGCTCAAGTGCAGCTAAATCCCACCTTGGCAAAGTCTCTGTGGGCTCTGGGCTATCCAAACCCAGCACTACTTATGTAAAACAGCAATAAACCCAGGAATTAAAAACACTCCTGTGGATTTTATTTGAAGAAGTAACCAGCATTTATGCAAATGTTTTAATCTGAAATGAATTAATTCTGTGACCAAAGTAAAAGGGGAAAAAACTCCACAGAAAATAATGTCTCATGCTGAGGGATCAAAGGTTTGCTATCAGAAAAACTGGGTGCTGATCTTGTGCAACTGCCTGGTCTTGTTTAGTATTTGTGTTAAAACTGTTTTTTTGCCTGAGCTTTTTGGGAAGTAATCCCAAGGATACTTGCCACTCCTAGGATAACAGGGATAACAGCCTCCATGCATTGAGATCAGCTCTTCCTTAGTAAAATGTGGAATGTGTTGTCTGTTGGGATATTAATATTACAAATATAATGTTATTCTTTTAACAACAGCCATTGTGACCAAAAGGGTCACCAGTGTCCAAAATACAGATGGACAGACCTGCAGAAGTCGTGGAATTCTGGGAATCACAGTGCAAGGAGAATTCTATTGATGAATTAGTGCTAGTACTGTTCTTCTTGATAATTTGAAAATTACCACAAAAGAAATGCTGCAAGAGTCTTTAGATAATGGAAGAAGCAGCATAAGAACAGAGATGGTTCTGCAGAGGCATGTGGGTTGCTGGGATTACTGATCAAGTGGGGTTTAAATTAAAGCATTTATAGGCAAAAGAACCATGGGATAGTTTGGGTTGGAAGGGACCTTAAAAATCATCCAGATCCAACTCCCCTGCCATGGCAGGGACACCTTCCACCATCCCAGCTGCTCCCAGCCCTGTCCAGCCTGGCCTTGGGCACTGCCAGGGATCCAGGGGCAGCTCCAGCTGCTCTGGGCACCTGTGCCAGGGCTGCCCACCCTCACAGGGATGAATTCCTTCCCAATTTCTCAACTAACCCCAATCTCCTCCAGTTTGAAGCCATTGCCCCTTGTCCTGGCAGCCCAGGTGCTGAGCTGTCTCTGTCCATCTTTCCTGCAGCCCCTTCAGAGCCACACTGAGCTCCCCCAAAGCTTCTCCTGTCCAGGAGAACAATCCCAACCTTGCACAGGTTGGAAGAGACCCTCAAGATCGAGTCCAACCCCTTTCCTCCCAGCAGAGCTGCTCCATCCCCCTGCTCATCCTGGTGGCCTCTGGACTCTCAGGCAGGTCCAACCCTGGGCTCCTCTCCTCTCAGTGCTATTTCAGCCTGTTGGAAGGGGAATTTGGGCTGTTTTCTGTGCTCTGAGTCAGTGACAAAGGCAGCACCACCCCGTTAATAAGATTTTTAACCCACGTGTGAACTTCAGGAATGACAACAGGGACATGAGGAGCGTTAGGATGATCCTGTGCTTTCCAGCAAGAAAGGTGGGATGTTCCCAGTGCCACAGGAGGGAAGCACAGAGATTTTCTGTCTCAGTTAATGGCATTTCACACACCAGCTCAGAAGGAAAACCAAACCTGTTCTTACAGATGAGGAAGCATTTCCAGAAGCATAAGGAATGAGGCACTTGAACATTTTCTGTTAACTATTCTTTCAGAGCATCTGCTTCCCAAGGTTGCTCTTCTTCCAATCTCAGTTTGTTTCCTGCTGCAGCTCCTAGAATTGCTTCAATATCTCGAATTGCCATCTGTAACAGATTCCAGGAATACAAGTTATTTAATGGGCATTATAATGGAATCCAGCAGCCAGGGTGCACAGCTGGCAGTGCCTGCCTGGAAGAGGTAACAGGGTTACACAGGACAGGATGCACCAATTAAATTTAATATTACTTTGGAGACACTTGGGGGAATTATTAGTAAATATGTACAAATCCCAGGTAAATAAAAATACAATTTGTACTCCTAATTAACTAACAGGTGTTTTATTTCACATATGTTCATGCACAATGGAGAAAAGTTCTCTTTTTTATTTTTCCTCAGTGGTTGCTTTTCATTCCCTCATATTGAAAAATGGGATTTTTTTTTGTTTGTTTGTTTATTCTGTAACATGTTGAAATTTAATTATGTCTTCCCCAAAATCTGTCATTTCACACTCTAGTGGAAAATCCAGTCAGGGTAGAAAGAATCTGCTATCAATTATGTGACATGACTGAAGATACAAATCTACCACAGTGTTCCCCTTCAGCTTTCACAAAACACACACAGGATGCTGGAAAGTTTTTATCAAGTTAAAGGTGATGCAGCTCAGCACAAGGATCAGTTCTGTGGAACCAAAAAGCAGCTTTTTAGGAGGGTTTGTGCCAGGGCTCAGGGCTGGGCTGGGGATTGATTTGCTGGGTCTGTCTGCAAGGTGGGGGAACCTCCCAGGGTGAGCCCTGGGCTTTGTCCTCCCCCTCTGGAGCATCCAGGGATGGGCCCCTTCCAACAGCAGAGAAAACTGGGAACCAAATCCACGTGGGAGATGGGAGCTGGGGTGAGGGATGGGAAGGAATGGATTAGTGGCTGCCTGCTTAGAAGATATGAGTGTTAATAATCCAAGCAGTTATTATCAACTGAGAGATTTGTTTCTAATCTAAGATTCTTACCTTGAGGGCGTCCCTTTAAAATAAAGCAGGCAATTGTGACAGAACTGTGTGAGGCAGTGCCAACAGCTCCTTTGCTCTTCCAAAGGACACTCAGGAGCATTAGATTACAAATAATTTCACGCTCAAGGATGTCTCTTTTCAAAGCAAAAGTTTCAAACTTAAATTTAACTAACGGGTTCCGTGGGAGACCCACTGCACTGACCCAGACACTGTAAACCACACACAGCCAGTGATAAAAAAGGAATGGTTTAGCACTTGTTTATGATCCAGCATGAGGTATTTGCAGGCCTTGTACAGAAATTAACCAGGATCGTTAGTTAATTAACACCTCACCTTAAAATTGGTCTCGCCTTGCATATTAGGTGCTGATATTTCTTGATGGATGATGAAGAGATTGCGAGCAAAGGTCAGGAGGACCCCCTGGAGATCCTCTCCGATTGTTCTGTTAATGATATCCAAACAAATGAGTTTACCAATGATTCCCTTCGCACGCTCCAAAACAATCGCCCTCTCATTTCTGCCTGCCTGGTGCTGGAATTTAATGAGGATTTTCAATCTCACAAGGTGAAAATCTTCAGGGAGATATGAAAGATGAGGCTCCATTTTAACTTGTCAACGGAAAGGATTTGTGTAATAAATAATTTTTATTAATCAACTTAGCAGAAGTAAGCAGAGAGGTTTCGGCTGCTCCAAGTAAAAGGTGACTGCTGAGGAAGGACTGAGGCAGCAGAACACTTGAAACACACACAGCACTTGGGAAAAGCTTGCTTCAGCCTAAAATTTGGGAAAGACATTTCAGCAGGATCAACATTCCTTGCATTGCTGCAGCTTTGGAGGCTTTGGTTTCCCAGTGGTCCACACAGACTCTCCACACCTTATGGAACAGGGAATTACACTGAGGAATAATGTGCCTCATTCACTGGAATCAGCCACAGATCTCTGATGGAATAAAATGAGTAATTCTCAGAGATGTTTCATGTGTTTGTTTTACAAGCTCCAATTCCTACAATTCTTGAAAATATTTCCCAATTAAGGCTATGAAATTGCTCTGAAAATGGGATGGCAGACAACAGGAATCCTCTTTGTTGCAAGCTGAGTTTATTTCTTCTTGTCCTGCTACCAAAAAATCAGGTTTTCCCTTCCTGCAGAGGCTTTTTCTGTGCTGGGAGATGGTTAGCAGATCCCATTTCTGCCCTCCCTCTCCGTTTTAGTCTTTCCATGTCAGTCATGCTCTCCAGAACTCTAAACATTTTCATTGCCTCCCTCTCACAGAACAGCAGGATTTCTTCCAGCATCTCCCAAGATACACTGTTTATCTTTTTCCACAGGATCATGACATTGTTTAATTCACAGATCCTGTTCCCAAAACCTCCTTGCTCCTCATATTCATTACTGCTCTCTAAATGTAATTTCTTCCACCTGCTTCCAACCAAACCTAATTCTATTTCTCATATTGTCCCTTCAATTTGTGGGGATCATTTTGAATTCTATTCCTGCCCTCCAGAACACTTGCAGGCAGATCCAGCACTTGAAGAAGCTGTTTTGTTATCCAGGTCATTAATGAAATAGCTGCAGCATCAAAGGAATACAGAACAGGCTGAGAGCACAGCCTCAGCTCCTCACTCGTTATTTTGGCAGTCACACTTCCATCATTCCCAGGTTGTGTTTGTCACCCTGACTTGGGGACAGTCACACTTCCATCATTCCCAGGTTGTGTTTGTCACCCTGGCTTAGGGACAGTCACATGTCCATCATTCCCAGGGTGTCCCCAGCTCTTTGTCACCCTGACTTGGGGACAGCCACTCTTCCATCATTCCCAATCTGTGTCCCATACTGTCCCCAGCTCTCTGTCACCCTGGCTTAGGGACAGTCACACTTCCATCATTCCCAGGTTGTGTTTGTCACCCTGACTTGGGGACAGTCACACTTCCATCATTCCCAGGTTGTGTTTGTCACCCTGACTTGGGGACAGTCACACTTCCATCATTCCCAGGTTGTGTTTGTCACCCTGGCTTAGGGACAGTCACACTTCCATCATTCCCAGGGTGTCCCCAGCTGTTTGTCACCCTGGCTTAGGGACACTCCACACTTACATCATTCCCAGGTTGTGTCGCTTCTGGTCTTCATACAGCACAAAAACTGTTCCCTGTTTTTCCTGTTAATTAAGACAAAATTGCTTTATTAATTCCTAAAATAGTGGAAATTCTAATGAATGTGTTACAGTAAGTACACAGCCAAATTAAGGAGGGCTGGTTTGGGATTGTGTGCAAGGAATTCTTGCTCAGTTTAAAAAGATTATTGCTCTAACTTATTGTAGAGAATACAATAAATGCAGCAGAGTTTATTCCACAGCAAATATTTGGGCTCCAAAGCAGTAAGAGATGGTCAAAAGTATCTTTAAAATTATCTCCTTACACAGGTATTTTAATCAAGAATCTGGTTAACCCCTAAAAGTCTTACACACACCTAAATTGAAAGAAAACCAGGTGTATGTGGCCCTTGAGGACGTGGTTTAGTGATGAACATGGGGGTGGTGGGTTGATGGTTGGGTGATGTTAGAAGTCTTTTTCAACCCAACAATTCCATGATTTATGATTTACATTGCTAGAAGTGGTTTTATCATAAAAGAGTATCCAAACACAACTTCTGCAGAACAAATATCACATTTCCTCATCTTTCCTTTTCCTACCTGGAGGTCAAATCCAATCCCACGAGCTTTGCAGATGTGGAGGAGGAGGTTGTAGGAGATCCCTGAGAGGCTGGAATGTCTCAGGTGGCTGCTGGCCACGGCACACCAGGGGCTGCTGGGGGCAGGCTGCAGAGAACAACCCAGGATTGCTCAGTGTCACATCAGTTCATACCAGAACCCAACAGCTAAATGCTAAATTACTGACTTTTCACCCAGGATTTCTCATTGTCACCCAGTTCATACCAGAATCCAACAGCTAAATGCTAAATACTGACTTTTCACCCAGGATTGCTCATTGTCACATCAGTTCATACCAGAACCCAACAGCTAAATGCTAAATTACTGACTTTTCACCCAGGATTTCTCATTGTCACCCAGTTCATACCAGAACCCAACAGCTAAATGCTAAATTACTGACTTTTCATCCAGGATTTCTCATTGTCACCCACTTCATACCAGAACCAAACAGCTAAATGCTAAATTACTGACTGACTTTTCACAAGGGATGGAGGGACAGGACAAGAAATGGCTTCAAACTGATAGAAGGTGGGACTAGGTGGGATATTGGGGAAAAAGTGCCCCCTGTGAGGGTGGGGAGGCCTGGTTTTCCAGAATGGATTTTCCAGAGGAGCTGGGGCTGCCCCTGGATCCCTGAGTGCCCAAGGCCAGGTTGGACAGGGCTGGGAGCAGCCTGGAATAGGGGAAGGTGTCCCTGCCATGGCAGGGGTGCAATGGGATGAGCTTTAAGGCCCCTTCCAACCCAAACCATGTTGAGATTGTGATTCCATAAATGGCTTTTTGCCAGTGAACTCAGTGTGGAGCAAGGCTCAATTTGGAGGAACCCCTGCTCCTCACAGGCTCTGCTGGACACAGACATTTCCATAAACCCCTGTTTGCTAGATCAGATCCACAGAATTGCTCTTTATGAACCACATTTTGGTGTTTGCACAGCTCCAGTGGTCACTGAGCCCTGTGAGACAACTGAATCCAACCTGGCCTTGGACATTCCAGGGACCCAGGGGCAGCCACAGCTCCTTTGGGCACCTGTGCCAGGGCTGCCCACCCTCCCAGGGGGGAATTTATTCCCAATATTTATTCCCACTGACCCTGCCCTCTCTCCCCCTTGGATAAAAGTCGGTGCTGCATCAAGTTTAAACTCTCACCAGTGCCAGAAGAACAGAGATGTTGCTTTGAGGAGCTCTGAGCAGAGCTGTTCTAAACCAGGGCTCTCCTGATGTTATTTTTAATGTCCCTGGGAGCAGGGACACTGCACATCAAAGCCTGTAATTCACAGTATTTTCCCTAAAATGATATTTGTTTTGACATTGACTCATTTAAGTTGACATAGCTGAAATCCTGATCTAATACATCTCTGCCTGAAAATTAATCATGTTTATAATATTCTGAGAATTAATAACACCCATTGCTCAAGTCATTAACTTAAAAAAGGAGCTTCCAAAATCTGTTTCTCTGCAGTAGGGGACCACAAATAAATGAATGCTTGATAAAATAATCCAAGCAGCAGTTTAACAAGCGTAAACTTGAATGTGGCTGCAATAACACAGAACTATTGTTTAAGGGTTGGCATCAGGTTGATGAGGTGCTTATTTCAGCTACAAAGCATGCATACACATGCATAATGAACTGCAGGATGAATTATTAATGTGTTGCTTATTTAGCCTCATCTGTCTAGAAGATAATGTATCCTAACTATAATGAGTGATTGGTTTTGTACATAATTACAGGAGCAGCAGTATCTAGGAAATTTGTTCTTTCAAAGAAGGAGTTCTAAAAATAAAATCCTCGCACAAACTGCGGGGCTGCTCCGTTTTATCAAAATCAGCCCTACCAGCATGGAGAATATCTAATAAATTAAAAGGGACAGAATCATTATTAACATCATAATTTTACACAAAGTGTTTTACTTAATCATTCATTACAGATCATGTGCAGTAAAAACATTTGTCTCTTGGTTTGTTTCTTTTTCTCTTTTCCTGGGAGACTGCAGTCTTGTAGTTAACTCTTCAGGAGATAAAAATCTCAGAAATACAGAAAGAATTAAAAATAAAGCATATAATAACAATTTATGTTAATTCTGATATAATTTTAATTTAAAAAAAAAAAGTTGCTACTTGATTACTTTTCATTTCTAGAACTTGGACTACTGGGACTAATCAGATCTAATTTACTTTTCTCCAACTAAAAGTGGTTGCTTGAGGAGAACAATGGCTCAAGAGCTCGTTAACCTCTAAATTACAGCTCCATGACATTTTTGGAATGGTGATACATTCCCTCCTCTGCGGATGGAAAAAAGGGAGCTGTGAATCTTCTGTCAAAATGTGGCAGAGGTTTTGTTTTCTATCCATACGTGTATGTACACAGACAGACACTTCTTAGGCTGACTTTTCTAAAGACCTTTCTTCCCATTTTCCGGAATATTTGGGTGGGAAGGGACCTTAAAGTTGATCTGATTCCACTCCCTGCCATGGGCAGGGACACCTGGGACATCCCAGGGTGCTCCAAGTCCTGTCCAGCCTGGCCTTGGGCACTTGTAGGGATGAGGCTGTTCCACTGTAACTCCTACTGTGCTGTTATTGACTGATAAAATCCATTATTACCTGGCAAAATCCAAGAGCAGCAGTTTCAAACCTGAAGGGAGCAGATTCAGCTCCTCTAGAACAGAACATGAACTGGGAATGGTTCCATGAATGGTTCTATTTGGGAACACATCACTGCTTACAGGTTTTGTCCTCTGGTGCTGCTGAACCCGTTGGCTTTTGCTTTCCTTTGCTCCCAGAGGTGCTTGCAGGATGCTGGAGCCACAATCCAGATTTCCATCTGTCAGGTACACCAGGAGCTGACTCAGGGCCAGCTGGTCACTGTAGCAAAGGTCAAGGTCTGTTGCCCACACCTAATCAAAAACCAAAGAGGGGCATTCAAATAAATTAAAAAGAACAAGAAGAAGAGTGAAATGCAGCAATTGTAAAGGAACATCTCTGCCTGGTTTTGCCCTCTGTGTTGGCATTCCTGCTTTTGGCTCCCTGGTGCTGGGGCAGGGTTGGCAGTGATGAAGATGTGAGGAAGGAATTCCTGTCTGTGAGGGTGGGAGGCCCTGGCACAGGTGCCCAGAGCAGCTGTGGCTGCCCCTGGATCCCTGGCAGTGCCCAAGGCCAGGCTGGACAGGGCTTGGAGCACCCTGGGACAGTGGAAAGTGTCCTTGCCATGGCAGGGGTGGCACTGGATGGGTTTTAGGGTCCCTTCCCACCCAAACCACTCTGGGATTCTGTGACTCCACAAACCACTTCCAACCAGGAACAACCAGAGCTCTTCTGTAACTTCAGAAGTAATCTTTCAGGGAGGCTGAGGGAAGCACCATGGATTGCTTCTGCATGGCTCCTCCACCCCAATAACCAGAGCTTGGCTTTCCCAGGAGTTTTTCTCACTTAAAAAATCCCTGTGCCTACCCTGCCTGTGAGAAATGTTCCCACACACCAAGAGCTGCCCTACAGAGGACCCCTTAAAACAAATCTCCCAGTGAACAACTTGCCTCAGCCCTGGAATGGTAAATGGACTCATTATAAGGATATTAAGGGGTCAGGCAGCCAAGGCCTCTTGGAAAACTGGAGTTAATTTCAGAATCATATGCACAGAGTAATGCCCTTTGGATAATGGGGAATAAATCACCCCAGTAACAGTTGTTAATGTCTAACTGCCAAGTATCTGTTGCTGTATTAAATATCCTATTTGTCAACTTAAATATTTCCTGCTGCACGGTCTAAAATGCAAATTGGATGCTAATGGCTGGCTTTACTTAGTAATAGGGGAATGTTCCCCAATTATAATACTTAATTTTCTTCAATAATTTATTGTTTATCATCACTTCAGCGAGACAGGAAGAACTTTGCTGTCCATTTCTCCTTTTCCAGTGTGTGCCAACCTTTTCAATGAGCCAAATAATAATTATAAACTATTCACACTGTGGGAGTGTTCCATTAATTTTGATAAATATTATCAACAAATCTGTGTCAATATGCCCTAGATCTTGTCTGAGCTGGGTTTTACACTCTCAATGAAAACTTTGCCCTCAGAAAGAAGGGGCAGAGCTGCGTGAGGGAACCAGGGACTGAAAATCTTGGATATCTGAGGGCTGTTCACTGGCTCCAAGTGAAGTGTTTGCTTTTAATCCAGACCTTGATATTACACCTGACCTCAAAAACCACAACTGGAAGCTTTGCTGAGCACAAGGAGAGCTGGGCTGAAAGGGGGCCATAAAAAAGGTTAAACCAAAACATCCCCGTGACTGAAGTGAGTCCCAGAGCAAAATGCAGGGAATGGGCTGAGGATTTACCAGCAGATAAAACATTACCAAAGCAGCCTGGCAAAGCTAAGCAGCCATCAGCAGTGGATAAATCCATTCCCAACTCCCAGGGATTCACACAAACCCTACCAGGTGTGGGGCAGGAGTTACTCCCCAGATCCCACCTGGTCAGTGCCTACAATTAACACAGGAGCAGATGACATTGTTTTCATTTCAGATGGAGATAAAAACACATTAATTACTTGTGTGATCCATTTCACACATCTAAACAAAGCCCCAGCGTGCCAGGCTGGCTCCAGTGCCCGCTGGCACGTGCCCAGGAGCTGCTCTGGGAAGGACAGAGCTCTCCTGGACCCCCTGCTCCAGGGAATGCCTCCAGCTTGCCCAAGGAGAGGGCTGGGAGAGCAGGGAGGAACAGAAAAAGCTTTTAGCAGGGCAACCTCGTGCTGGAAATGATGAGACTGACCAAATAATGGTTTAAGGTGTTTCTGTTTGTATACAGAGGGGATTAATAGTTTTTGGGTGTGGTTTCATCATCTCAGCCCAATTTCTGCTGCTGTCTACGAAATTAAGAGTTTGGATCTACAGGGGGGATGAAGGAAGGTGTCCATCCCCTCCCCTGCTGTCACAAAGGAGAGCTCCAAAACCTCCTTGAGCTTCATGCCCTCCTTAGGTAAAGTCATTGTAATATTTTGCATTTTCCAGTATAAGGTGTGGGGAGGAGGATGAGAAGAAGGAGGAGGAAGGCAAACATGGCAGGAAGCCACCTGTCCACCTCCTTTCATCCCCAAGCCTGGGGCTGAACCACCCCTGTTGGAACTCAGAGCAGCCAAATGGTCACTCCTTGGTGCCAGCTGGGATCACCCCCAAGGATTGTTTTCCTGGCTCAGGACTCTCTGAGTGGCTGTGGCCATGTCCCCTCCTGCCCTGGATGTGTCCCAGAACATCCCTGACGTGGGGGAGAAAGGAAGGAGGATCAGATGGCACAAGATTTTCCAGCTTTATCCTAGCAGGGGATTCCCTTTTGCCATGGAAACACAAAAATGTCCTTTAAATCCCCTTTGTGCTGCTACAGAAATGGGAGAACACGGGGCCTGGACAAGGGGTCTGGCCACATAAATCATCTCCTCCAGTAAATCAGGAGCTCTTAGGAGATGACCTGTGCAAAGGTGAAGTTTAAGTAAAGAATGGTACAATCCTGCAGATTAACAAACATCTATTATTGAGCCCAGCCCCATTTTCTGAGCATACACAAAAAGGGCACGGATGGAACGGTGAACATTTATAATTGGAGGTGTCAAATCCTGACAGGATTGCGTGGCAAATTAGCAGAACACAGGGAGTTTTCATCTGAAATGTGGGGAATTTCAGAATTTATGTTCATAAATTAAACCGGAACAGAACACTTTAGAAGTAATATTTGATTTTCAGAGTCCAAAGGTAGAGGCAGTAGTTATGATTTTAGATAGATTTAAGACTGGTTTTAGATCAAACTAAACACAGAACAGATTAGGACTCTCCAGAATCCCACCAATGGAAAAAAATTGAGTTAGAAATACATCCTGCAAGACTTGCTGGCTGTTTCTCCAAGGCAACATTTGCTTCCAGGGGATTCTCCTTTGGCACACACAGCTTCAGAGCCAGCGCTTTGTGCTGAAGACATCTCCAGTGAATAAAGTCACAATTATACTGGAATTCTTTACAGCTTCCATAAAAACGCTTCAGCTTTAGAATGTGAACTTGAGAAGGGAAGGAAACATAAATTCTTAAAGAGTTCCTAAATTACAGCTGGGCTCTCTCTGGTTTAGCTGTTTTATCTGCTGCTGCTATCGACGGCTGCGTTGTCGTGAAGAGCACCCGTGCTAGTCTTAAAGAAGAGCTTGAGTGATACTGTAAAAATGTCAATTAGTAAAATATTAATGCAGCTGGGGCGTTGGAAAGAGAGTGGCTTTTATGACTTTGCAAACCTGCAGGATTGATTGGGGCGGCGCTGGCAGCTCTCATCCGGCTGCCATCTCGTGGCAGCTCCTGGCATGGGCTGGGGCTCGCCCAAAAACTCTGATTTTAGGGCTCTGCAACTCCTCTGTCCTGCTGGGTAAAGGGTTGGGAGATGGTTGGTGTCAATACCGTGGGTCTTGTTGGAAAATAGGACATAAAAATGTGTTATATTCTGCCTGGAGAGACCTTGGGATGCTGTGGGAATTGTCCAACCTCAGCACTTTATCCAATTAATTATTCCCTCTCTACTGCTGGGAGAGGCTGGGGCTGTGCAAAAGCCACCAGACCCATGGAAAAGGTGGTTTAGGATCCTGCTTTTCTAAATTATTATGTAAGGAAGTCAATGTGTTTAAATATTCCCACTCAGTCCAGTGGGTTTATTTGGGTGCAGCTCCCTGCTGGGATCTGACAGTCTGGGCTGGATTTCACTCTGAGGGGCCAAGGCTTTGCTTGGAATGATCATTGTGGAAAATAAAGTGGGAATCACTCCAAGGGATTCACTCCAAATGATGCACCTCCACTTCTTCCTAAAGGCACTGAAAACAGAGCCTCCCTTTCCCTCAGGATCAAGGCACAGGTGCCTGAAACTGAGGTGGAAACAAATTCCTGAGGCAGACAGGGAATTGTGCGGAGTCCCAGCTTTCCCTACCCCTTGGATCTCGTGGCAGCCAAGGCTCTGTCTTCCCCCTGAGTTGTGTGACAACACATGCTGTTCCTTAGCCATCCTTTTCTCCTAGTGCTCCAAAGATCAGTATTTTCTGTAAAACACACTTGGAAAGAATTCCTGAGTATCCTGTACTTCCAGGAAATGCACCTGAGCCTCCCACCTACTGCATTCAAGGGGACACTTGTGGAAGGAGTGAGCAAATGATCCAAGGGGCTGATAGGATTTCTTGTTTGCCAAAAAAATGGTGCTTTCAGGAACACAAGCCTTTGAGTGATCTCTCTCTCCCAAGACAGATGGCCTCATTAATTGCCTCCATATCCAGTTAAATTTAAAAACCTGTGCTTAAATAATGTTAAAGTTGTGGCACATGCTGATAAACATAGGAAATGTTAAGGTAAAAATTAGCTGGGAACAAGGGAAGAAAACCAAGATGGAACAGAGAGGAATTCTAAGAAGCCACAAGAATCAATAAATGATTTAATGTGTCCCTGTTTGTGCCAGGAAATGTCACAACCTTAACAATCCAGGAAGCACTCCTGCATTTCAGTGACCTCCTGGCCTGAGTGGAGCACTTGGCAGAACTCCTGTTGGATTTCTGTGGGTGACAATGTCATCCCTTCATCTTTTTAAAGAACTTTCCATGGAACTTGCCCAGAGAAGCTGTGGCAGCCCCTGCACCCCTGCAAGTGTCCAAGGCCAGGCTGGAGGGAGTTTGGAGAAACCTGGGATAGTGGAAGGTGTTAGAATGAGAGGTTGGAATGAGATTATTTTAAGGATCCTTCCTACCCAAACCATTCCATGATTCCATGATTATTCTGAATCTCTGGTTCACCACAGCTACACTTACAGTGCTGTCAGTTCCCAAAAACCTCAAAGTTCCTCAGCTCCCCACAGCCTTAAAATCCAGGGATGTTCCCTTTTACAGTCAAACACATCCTAAACACGGAGGTCCTCAGTGAAGATTCCAGAAGAAAACAATGTCAGGAGAGGGAAAAACAAGGAGAAGCCTCAGGTCTGCATTTGGTGCTGTGAGAATACCCCCATGCTGACGTGCCCCACAGTTTGGAAATTGTTTGTTCCAAAGGGCAAAGCTTTCTCCTGCTATTTTTTTGGAGTTCCATGGGAAAGTTGGAATTTCTCAGTCTCAGGGAGACAGGGTGAGGTAACAAACCTGCCCCACTCACCTGCTGCTCCCCCGTTTGGGGATGGGTGAAAGCCACAAAGTCCACGGAGAAGTAGCCGAGCACTCCTTTGGATTTACAGGCCTCCCCAATTTTCAAGGAGAGAGCTTTGAGAACCTCAGGATCCACGGAACGCTGTGGGATGGTGGTGCCAGAAGATCTGAGGGGCCCCTCAGCGTGGAGCTGATCTCCAGATGACAGCAGTGTCACCTCCCCTGTTGGCTCTATCAGCAGATCCACCGTCACGTTGGTGACGCTGCCCGAGGCCGGGAAGGCTTCGATCACCCCCCCTGGAATTGGAAAGGAATTCTCTTGGGATCCAGTCCAGCAGGAGGGAGCTCCAGGGGGGACTGGAAATACAGCAAATAAATCAGTGCAAGGGGAGCAGCAGAGCCAGAGTCGTGGATCTCTTGGAAGGGAAAGGAGTTTCATTAGTGGCTTTTCATTCCCACTTCCAAAGTGGATCAATCCCACAGCTGGCTCTGGGGTGGGAGGAATGAATCCTGCTCAACACCAGCCCAGAACAGCTGGGAAATGCAATGTTGGGATTTGGGAGATGGGAACTCCTGCTGTGAGCTCATCTTGGAGACTCCCATCCATGTAATGGTCTTATCTAAGAGTCTGCCTGTGGCATTCACCCACAGGAGGAATTTGGCATGGAAATAACAACTTCCAGCATGGTTTGCCATAGGAAAATCCCCAAGGGGATTCTGGATTTGCCTTTTTCTTGCATATAATGCCATAACCCATTTTGTTGGGATAAACTGCTATGTAATAAGATTGGTACTAGATGTGTTAAGTGGCATTATTTAAAAAGAAAAATACCTTCAAGGCTTTGATTCATCCTTGTCTCTTCCATAAAGAAATCCATAAACAAATCTATATATTAAATATTCTCACATTTACCTCACGTGCTGGAATTCCCTAAAACCTTTCCCCAAATGTGACAGCCTTTGGTGCAGCACCCAAGGATTAAGGAGTTAGTGCTCATGGATTCAGAATCCAGGATTAATATGGAGTAGAAGCTTGGATAGGACAAATGAATGACAGAACAGTGGCCTATAATTCATTGGTAAATGAACATTTGAAGCATAATGGAGAAATAAAAGGAGATAAATATTTAAATGGGCCCAAGACTAACAAGAATATGGCAGACAATATGGCATAATTACTCCTTCTAACACTTCCCAGCGACTTTGCAGTCTTATTTACCTTGAGTAAGAAATGTTTGGAGGAATTTTTCCCATGTAGGGAATCGTTTCTCATTGACTGGCTGTACGTGCTGTGCTAAAAGGCCCGGCAGCTCCTGGGAGATCTTCACCAAAGCTAGCTCCTGCAGAAACAAATTAAATAGAACCACAAGCAATTTTACTACAGAAATGAAAACTGCTTGTGGGGTGATTAAAAACCAGGCCTCCAACAGGCAAAAAAAAAAAAAAAATGTGGTTACTGTTTACCCACAGTCAGGAAGCCTTTTTTAATTTTTCTACTTGCTCCTTTTCCCTCCTTCTGCAAACTGTCCTTCTCTGAAAGCCAATCCCCCTCTCAGCACAGCATCTTTTGCATTATAATTTATATCAATAATTGGATCTGGCATCTGAAAATGCCAAGTACTTGGTAACTGCTTTGGGATCAATAGCAGCAGTCAATAACTTGTACATTGCTTGTATTTTGAAGCAGCATATTGAAATAGTCACATATGCCAGCAATAGTTTTGCTGGTTCTATTTTAAGCTCTTCTATCAACCCAAATACCCTTTAGATAGAAGAAGAAAAAAAAAATAGGAATAATCAAGCAAAAGCATTTCTAAAGCAGGAGATATCCTTTTAAATCTGCAAAATATCTGTAACAAATTCCCAAGTGCCTGTGTCTTTGGTGGAATTTGATTAGTCACTCCACAGCTAAAGCAGGCTTTTTTCCTAGTTTTAAATTCTTTATTATCACACACACAGCCCAGCCCCATTAAATACAGCAAGTAACTGCTCTGCTTTTACTGCTCCCCAAAGTGCCAGAAGAACGGGAGCATATAAAGTGCAAGGACCCTGACTGGATTGCTTCAGGCTCCTTTTCTTGCTGCTTCCTGAGCCTCCCCCTGCTCCCCCGGGGCTCTTCCCTCTGTTTTCCATCCCCTCTCCTCTGCACCCCGTGCTGCAGCAATGACCAGCCCTCCTCTGCTCCATGTCCTCAACCACAATCACTTCGTCCCAGGCTCTGGAGGAACATGAGAAGAATAGCAAATAAAAAATTAAAGCTGTTTTTCCGGAGCGGTGAGTTTGTAGAGATGGGCTTTGTCACGGAGCACATGATGTAAAGGAACCAAAAATGCAAATCCAAAATGACTCCGCTGTGATTTGCCTACCAGCACGAGGAGGATGGAGCAATGATTGGAATATCTGGATGGTTTGGGGGGGAAGGGAACTTAAATCCCATCCAGTGCCACCCCTGCCATGGTAGGGACACCTCCCACTGCCTCAGGCTGCTCCAAGCCCATCCAACCTTGGACATTTCCAGGGATCCAGGGGCAGCCACAGCTTCTCTGGACAAATGGGGAATCTGGGATTAACTCTGCACGCAGGAGAGCTGGAAAAGCCACCCTGAGACTGCAGGAAAGGCATTTTCCACCTGGGCCTCAGCTGCCCAGCCATGGAAGGGGGACAACTGAGGGGGAAAACACCTTAAAAATATGGAGGTGCTCAGATGGTGATGCTGATATGGGATATGTGGGCTCCTATCATATAATGAAGAGAAAAAGATGTTCTTGACTTTAAAAATTTCACAAAAAAAGGGGTTAAAATGGTTTTAGTCAGTAGATCAATACACTAAGCAGCAAAAGCTCATGACAAAAACAAAGGAGCACATAAAACATGAGATGCAAGCTCAGAATGTACCAAAAACAAAGGAGCACATAAACCACATGATTCAAGCTCAGAATTTACCCAAAAACAAAGGAGCACATAAAACACAAGATCCAAGCTCAGAATTTACCCAAAAACAATGAAGCATGTAAAACATGAGATCCAAGCTCACAATTTACCCAACTTCAGGTCTTTACCCTGCTCATTTCCTCAGGATCTGAAGGTGGAATTTTGGTTTTGGATGGCTGAGCTGGCTGAAACAGAAGAGCAGTGAGCAAATATCCATTGGCCTTGTGTGGGTTTGTGTTTGTGCTGAATTATTGCTGAGCTAACAAGGCACAGGCTGAGGTGGCTCATGAAAATCCTCTCAGCTTTGGAGAGAGGATGTGAGCGTGATGGATGGGCTGGAATTGCTGCCCCACAAATCAGTTCCCAGCTGGCAGCACACCCAGCAACACCTCTGTCACTCCCACCTCATCCCTGAGACCTGCTGGCTTGGGCTAGCAAGGAATTTAAACAGAAATATAAAAACACACAAAGCAAGAGGTGTGCAGTGGCTGCCTGGAAGATTTTGATAAATCACAGGGAAAAAAAAAACAAACCAGAAATCTCTGCTGGATGTGGAGGCTTTTGGGAGTGCTGTGCTCAAGGTTGTGTAAGGAACAATTAAATTGGGACACAAATTTCCAGTGCTACAGTTCTGAGCTGTCTCTGCTTTCACACGTGGCTGTGGAAGAAACCTCCCTAACCTGGCTGCAAAATCAGGCAGAACTTCCAAGGGGCTTTTTCTCTGCCTTTTCAAAGTTCTTCTTGCACATGGTTTGGGTTGGGAGGGAACTTAAATCCCATCCCTGCCACTATCCCAGCTTCCAACCTGGCCTTGGACATTTCCAGGGATCCAGGGGCAGCCACAGCTCTGGTGAGGGTGAAGGATGGGAGCACCAAACCTGGCTAAGAGAAACAAAGCAGGATTTTAAACAAATAATCAATTCAAGAAAATGTGCCAAACATCCCTGAGCCCCAAGCACAATGCCTGGGCTGTCAGGGTGCTCACAGAAGGGATTCATCCTGTAAAGATCAGCTCCTGCAATGCTGGTTGGAGGGTTTTTTTTTGCAACTGTAAGCTCTAAAAAGGCAATAATCCTGATTATAGGGAGTTTTAGTAGGCAAATTCAAGCCCGGATCCAGCATTCACTCATGAAGTCAAACCTTTTAAAAGGATCAGTGCTCAGCTGGCTAATTTCATTTAAATTGGACAGTATCTCCAGCAGAGCCTACCAATGTTTTCTCTCTTGATGTGGCCCAAAACAATCCAGGACCACAGCTAAACAGAAACAGGGAGCATTTGTTCAAACCTTGCAGCTGATGTTTCTTAGTAGCAGTAAAAATGAGCAGCCCAAATATTGTTTACATCATGTAGAAATCTTTGCATCTCTCCAAACTGGTTTAGCACCTTTTTATAACAATGAAGAAGCACTGAAAAAAAAATTACAGCTTTTTCCCACTAAATGAGAAATAATTTCTCACCCTTCTGCAAGATGAATTTTGAAAGGTTTTCTTAGGCAGTTGCAACACAGAATTGGGACCAAGCGTGGTAGATGTTGAAGGCAGTGGTAGGAAATCTGCTGGAGACAGAAATAAAAAGAAAGAAAAGCTGAAAAGAAAGAAAAGCTGAAAAGGAGAGAAATAAATAAATAGAAAGAAGAAATAGAAACAGGAAGAAAGATCTGGGGAAAGCAAGAGGCTGCAGAGCAGGATGTGTAAGACACAGGGCTTTTTAGCTAAAAACCAGATGGAAAGGAAATTATTTAGACCTTGCAAGCAAACAGAGTGAAGAAAGGAACTCCAGATTCCTTTAAAGGAAAGCTGAGTGGGCCAGAGAGGAATAAAATCAGCAGAGAGCTCCTGAGCAATACAAAGTGCCACGACTCTGCTGCAGTCAGTGGAGCTGTGGCAATTTATGTCCCTTGGAGGGCACAATGACAATTCCTGCCATTTGTAAGTCCATCCTTTCTCTTGTGCTCAGTGGAGCTGGGATAACTTACTCCAGTCTGGGTGGGAACTGCTCCAGCCCAGCTCGTTCTGATGTTCTCAGTGGCACCAGCAACCGTGGAAGAAGCCAGTGACTGCTGCCCAATTGTCCAAGTAGCTGCCATTATTTCCTATTTTGCAAATTAAACTGATTGGACACTTTTTTCCTCATTCACCCTGGCCAGAAGCACAAAAGTACCACAGTGAACAGAATAAATGGAGAGATCTCTAAAACTGGGAATGGCTTTGGGAGTGACACACTGAGAACCCTCTATTTGCTTGAAGTTTGCCACCTGATTTAAAGCCTGGGCTTTTCACTGTTAACTGCAAATTTTAAAATTCAAAAAGTGCCAATTTTGCCTTCCCCAGAGCTGGGAAAGCATGTTCAGAGCTCGGGTCCCATCATGGCAAACAGCCGTCATTACCGTCTCACACAAATGCTTTTCCTATGTAAAATTGCTTTGTAAAATATTTGCTCCATCTGCTGAAAGGAGCAAAGACAATTTTCCCTGATAGCTAATGGCCCATTTCAGCTGCCTGCCATGGAGGGGTGCTGAGCACAGACCCACAATCCTGCACTGCTCCCATCCTGCTCCCACTCGAGGGGTTTTTGTGGGGCTGAGGCACATCTGCCACGCTTCAATGAACCCCAAAACCAGCCCCTGCCAGGCTCCCAGAACAAGGAGCTCAGCTCCCTTTCAAACCTCCAGTCCTTCAAGTGCTGCTCCTTTCTTTGCACCACATGGGGCCACGCTTCTCCGGCCGGCCTGGAGGGTTTGGGCACTGAAAGATCAAGCACTTCTCTTTTAATTCTAAATTCAAGCACAGACACACAAAAACCCCACAAAACCCCCTCTGCCCTGCTCCAAACCCTCTCCCAACTGCTCCTTTCATTGTGCACCTTCCTATTTAGCATCCATTGAAAAGCACATGTTTACATTGTGCCCTGAACTACTTTAACATCTGCTAACAGACCAATAAAAAATAAATAAACCAGGATTGTTTAGGAAGAGAGATCCTTCCTATTTCTTGCAAACACTCCGAAACTGGCAGCAGCAATTTGCTGCCAGATCCCTGCTCGGAAAACAATCTACGCAGGGAAATCAAAGATCGAATCTGTGCTGCCAAAAATCAGCCAGAAAAAAGATCTTCAAAGTGCTGTGAACTCCTCAAATAATTCTGCTTGTTTATCCAATGAATGTTAATTTGAGATTAGGATAATTAGTATATAAATATTCCAAATTGTGTCTTTTGCAAGGTGCATCCTGCATGTTCAAGGTTCCCCACATCTTCCTTCAGATCAAAGAAAACATAATTGTCATGATCTTTAAAAATCTCTCTTCAAAACAATAATCATATATTTATTTCAAAGGCAGCGTTTGTAATTTCGGGACACTGGGATGTTAATTCTCATATAAAATGAGATCAGGAATGTTTGAAGGCATTTTCCTGTGTTTGAGAGATTTCTGCAAGTGCATTTTCCTGTATTTTAGAGAGATTTCTGCAAGTGCACAAACAATTCTGACGCCCTCAGATGAAAATTATTTCCCCAATTAATTGACTTTTCTCTTTTTCCATCTCTATAAATTTACTACACTTCTGTGACTTGCTCTCCTTTCTGGTTTAAACAAAATATTCTAATGAATTCCAAAAATGTGGTTTCAGAAAGAAAAAAAAACCTTATATGGAAAACCCAGAGTCACTTCCTTGGAATTTTATGGAAATTGCTGTAATGCTACAGGAATTGTCAGACAAAACCTGCACTGTTTTTCACAAACAACACACACTTAAACTCCCTTTATTCCCAAAGCTGCCTATGTGTTACTTTTTGGATTTTAGCAAAACAAACATTTTTAAAATAATCCAAGCAGGCACTTTATTGGCTGCAAGAACATTAAGGCATTTCAGATTTCTTTAGTGCTCTTGCTTTATCCTCTCCTTCCCCACTGTTATTGCTACAAACTGGCACTTAAATTCAATTGATTCAAAATATTCTGGATCCATATGGCCTCAAACCCTGGAGCTGAAGTTCTGATATTGCCTCACTGCTGTTTTCGAGCATTTGCCTCTCCTCCAGTCCCCAGATGGTGGAAGTAACATTTAAACCTCCTTTTCCTCTGCCTTGTACAATAGACCTTGGCACCATTTCAACTGTTTACTCCGGTAATTAACAGCACTGATACCACAACAATTACAACTCCTACAATCTTAGCACAATAATGCTATGAATTAGTGAGAGCTAATGGCTGGAAGGTATAGTGGTTCCAGACTGAGATCTGTGCATTTCTCGAATAAAATAAAAGGTAGGAACAGCACGCTGGCGGTAGACAATGATTACCTAGTAATTAGTTTACACAAAGCTTCCTATTTAATGGCAAAACGCTGTAATTAACGCGTGACAGAAAATCAAAGGGTACTTTGTAAGCATATGAAAAATTAACACTGCAGGCCTATAGCTTTATGTACTGATTAGGAGCATATTAAATCAATAGGACACACAGCCCAACAGCTTGCAGAGCCCCTGCTTGTGGTTCAGGGATGATATTCTGGATTTCACCAAGCCCAGGGATACAATTCTGCTTTATTTTATTTATTTATTTGCTCATCACATGCAGATAATCTTAATAAACTGAGGATTGTTTGCAGGTGCAATGAATATTTCAATTATTTGGAATAACTGCTCTGCTCACACTAAGAAACCTCCGGCACTACTCCTTTCCATCATCGAGCTCTTCCTGAAGTCTTTGGGCTCCTTTTCTTTCCCTGTCAAACATGGTATCTGTTAGATGAAATGCTAAAATGCTGGAAATACATTTAGTGGGGATCTGTCAGAGTTTCTGGCCCTCTTCAGGCTGGAAAAATACCACACCTGCAATTCCATGTGCACAGCTGGCTCCTTCCCCAAGAACCCCCTCCGTGGGCTTTAGGTGTTACACTAAGATCAATTAATAAAAAATCAGGAAAAAAGCAGTGTTAGGAAGCTCTGCTGTGTTCAAAGGGGGTCAGGAAGGAGTGTGCTGGCAGTGGCACGTTTCTGAAATTACATTTTTTGATAGATTGGTTTTATCCTGATTTGTTTGCACACACATCCTACTCTGAATTCCTGAACTCAGTAAAGAAATAAGACGAGGGAATCTTAGTACATGGAATTCATCTAAGCAGGACACAATCTGCTCCCCACTATTCCTGATTGCCAGCTAATCCCAAAATTCATCTAGTACTTACTACAGACATTTTAAAAGCTGACCAAAAAAAATGGCTCATTTAAAGGAACATCCAGCATTTTGCATTCCTATTTCCCACAGCAATCATTTCAAAATCCTGCAAGCAGCATCCAAATCTTGTTTTAGGTCATTCAGACCAAAAGTTGTCCAGATTTGTCACCTGTTAAAAATATTCTAATTTCCTCATAGCAATAAATTAACTGAATTATAACCTGTAAGGAAAAGAAACAGACAAAATCCTCAGACTCAACTCCAGGAGTAAAACTCAAACATTTTTCTAGCAAGGGCTGCCCAAGTGCATTAAATCCTTTTTTTTCGCTCTATGACAGATATTTGATGGAGAGTTTTGAAATGGTTGTGTAGCTATCACCACTTTTAAGGGCTTATTCAGAGAGTATTTGTTGCTTGTTTTTCTGTGTCTTGTTCTATCCCTGGATTTTCAGCTCTTTTCTATCCCTTTCTTTCTGTCTCCAGCTTGATCTTTGTTACTTTCAGACTTGCTGTTAGATAAACTCACACCATGTTGTTGGTCCTGGTGGTTAATTAAGTCACAGGGTAATAAAAGATAATTCTAAAATTAATTTCAGTAGTAATTTAATCTAGACTTACTACAGTTACACAAGAGGATGGGATCCTGCAGCCCCATGTTATTTATACAAAAGGGAGTTGTTAAAAGAAGCAAAAAGGCAATGCCAACAGGAAGCTGATGTTCTCTTTGCCCTAAAAGGGAAGAGTTTTGGGAGTTTGAGTCCTAAGAAAAAGGAAAATATGAAGACAGAGTGAGCATATCCATTCCTTGGATACTCTCCCAGCCTCCAAGAAGTCAGAATCCCTCTAAGCCAGAGATTGTGTCAGCAATAATGAGAATTTTCCATGAATTCAGAGTCTCCCAGCAAGGGTCCATAAAAGTTTGGGTGAGATTTTCCAGAATCTGAGCTGCTGACTTTGAGCAGGAGTGAGATGCCCAGCTATACCATATATTAATAAGGATTATGGATATCTTTAGCTACATAATTCAAAAAAACTATTCACTTATTCTTACAGCAGCAAAACCATTTTTTGTGCTATGCATGGAGTGACTGAAGCTTGAATTAGTACAGAAGACTGGCAGATGTTAAAAATGAATTTGTTTGTTCCCTACAGTCATCATTCACCCTACAAGATACAATTAATCTGATAAGGAGACTCAGTATTTATTCTTTTTTTTTTTTTGTGTACAACTAGGGCCAGACCCTGATGTTCTTTTCACACTGGAAGATGTCTCCAGAAACAACCCCACAAGTGCCAAATGTTCTCTGGCTATGGGGCCATTGGATTCTGGGCCTCAGGATGAAATTCCTCTGCAGACAGACATGGGCAGTGCACAGGGGGCTGATGGATTTGGAAACATTTTGCAGTTTATGAATTCAGCCCTTCCTGCAGTTGCAAATTAATTGTTCAGATAACTCAGAGGCTGCATTAAGTTTACAAGGTGAAACCCATCCATAATCCTGTCGTGCATTAGGGTCTGCCCCGATGTTGTATTTGCAATGAGGAATCTAAAATCAGGCTCATTTTTAGCTGGAATAGATTTTTACACAGTTCAAACTCACCAAAGTCCATTATTTTTAATCTGTTGCCTACTCCACGCCACTGAGGAAAATCTGGGTGGCGTGTCTTAAACTGCTATGCAAATGATGCTATTTGTAAGTATTACCATAATTTAGTGCTTACAGTCATGTTCTCATTTCTAATAATTCCACCAGAATGGAGAGGCTTTTCACTGTGCTCCTAGCCTGCAGGATAGTCTTTCATCAAGAAGCTGAATTTTTTAATAACCTGCCAGCATCCGTTTGTGTGTGGCACTGACACGACGTCTTCATTATCAAAGGAACCAGGTCCCCACACTGCACCAGGACATGAAAGCACAAACTCCTGCTTTGATGTTTAAATGTGCATCATTACAATGGTGATCCCTGACAAAGGAGTGTTTTAATCCTCTGCTCTCGGTGCTGAGGCTCAGGGAGGCTTCCAGCCCTTGTTTCAAAAGAGGGCAAATGTGGAAGGCAGGGAAATGGGAGCAAACGTTCAAGGTGCTCAAAACAGCAGCAAGTTCCACACTTTAGAATCACAGAATGGTTTGGATTGGGAGGGATTTTCAGGATCATCCTGATCCCTCAGGTTTGAGCTTTTCTCTTTTCAGATTCTGAGCTGCTTTAGTGTGTGGGTCTGGGCTCCATATCAGGGGATGCTGAGCTGGGTCTGGGCTCCATATCAGGGGATGCTGAGCTCTCTGCACAGAGCAGAGACACAAAACAATTCCTGCTCCAGCTGGGCACCAAGGACAATGATCCAAATCTCAGCCCAGGAGCACAAACACCGTGGGCTGGAGAGAGAAAAACAAGCAGGATGGGACTGCCTGGGCTAAAGCTGGAATGGGACAATGAACTCCAAGGTGCCAATGGAGCAGAACTGATCCCAGGGAGAGCCCCCGGGAGCGCTCGTGCATTTTGGGGCCATTTTGGGTCATCCTGGGGCAGCCCTGGCTGGGCTCTGGTGCTGCCCAAGGTGGATCCATGGAGGAGATCCTTTGAGTAAATCCCTGATTTATTCTGTAACTCTGTCCAGCCTCTGTTTTAGGCCAGCCTTGACAAGGCCTCAATCCCATTCCATCACCTTCCACCATCCCAGGCTGCTCCAAGGCTTGTCCAGCCTGGGACACTTGCAGGGATCAGGAACCCAGAACTTCTCTGGACAACACTTGGCCAAAGCCCACGTCAGCATTGGCCTGGATTTGTCTGCTGACTCTGGGAAATGACATCAAATTCCTTATTCCATGTTTATTTCCCAACTTCCAACATGTGTTTGCACTTAAGGGCTTCTCACTGGTTGTATCCAAGCTCGAGGTAAATGGAGTAAAAAGGAAAACCAAAGGAAGTCAGGGCTCACTGCGGCCTTGATGCAGAAGCACTTAGGGAAAGAATTTAAAAGGCACAGAAACAGGGAATGCCACTGAAATCAGGGATAGAAGTGCAGCTGCTGACTCCTGGTTGTGTCCTGACTCAGCACCTGGATACATCCTGAGCTTTGTGTCCCACTGGGGTGGATTTTCAGGGCTCTGCTTCATCCTGCCTAACTTGCAGATCAGAGGAATTATCCCTTCAGCTTTCAATCAAGAACTCTATTTTATAAAGTGGAATTATTTTGTATCTGTCAAACGCAGCAGAACCGTAATCAGCCCAATTTGAAACTTTAATATACAATATAATTCAATCAACCCCAAATTTCAAACCCGTTTTGATTGAATTAAAAAAATCAGAGGAGCTATAATGAGTAGTTTATGTAAATGAAACAATTTTTCTGGATACATTCCTTCTGGCTTTAAAACCATTACATTAGGAATGAATTTGGCAAGATATACAGAAATATCAAATGCTTATTGAAATTAACACATTTAAATACCAATGAATATTTAAGCTACAAGTTCTTGGAATGCCAGAATAATAAAGGGTGGTTTCATATGGATTTTTCTGCAGTTAAAATGTATCATCTTCCAGCCTCTCAATCCTGGGGATTCTTAGGAATCTAGGAGTACCTGAGTTCATGCTCTAATATTTCCCTTAGTTAGATTTTTATAGATGGCTCTCCTTACCTGAACACCCCGGGTAATAAAAGTTGCAGGAATTTAATGATCACCAAAACCTACAAGTGTTGTCTCATACAGGCTTAAAAGTTATTAATGAGGCAAAACATCCAGGAAAAATAATCCACAGAAAAACAGCTGAAAAAGCAATCAGTTTGTATGATTTCAAATTAGTGGTGTTCAACTATTTTAATCCCAATCCTAATTAATCTTTGTGCCAATAATTCCAAATTTCTGTGGAAATAATTCCAATTTTTTATGGAGATTAGGCTGTGCTGCTTATAAACTTTCCTTTATATGTCCTCACTTTAGATTAAAAAAAAAATCTAACATTTATACCAAAAAAATGTATAAACCCTGTCCATTATTGCATAGAAGTGCTACAACGCAAATCCTTCCACAGTTGGCTGCCAGGCATTCCTTCATATATTGGAAGATTTTGGAAGAAATATTTTGGAAGAAAAGGATTTTGGAAGAAGGAAAGATTTTGGAAGAAAGAAAGATTTTGGAAGAAGGAAAGATTTTGGAAGAAAGAAAGATTTTGGAAGAAGGAAAGATTTTGGAAGAAGGAAAGATTTTGGAAGAAGGAAAGATTTTGGAAGAAAGAAAGATTTTGGAAGAAAGAAAGATTTTGGAAGATTTCCCTGTTTGATTTGAATTATTGCTGCTTTGTGAAGCCAGGCTGGGCTGTGCTATCAGCATTTACCTTCAAGTGAAAGCTCAGGGAGGAGATTTACAGCGAGAAGGGACCTCAGGGAACACTGAAGAGCCAAGACAAGGCAGGAGATGCAATTTTGTCACTCACACGAGCCTGGCTCTCGCTCCAGCCCTCGGGGCCGTGTCCCTGTCGTGCCCTCTGGATCCAGGGGTGGCATTCCAGGTGGGAAAGGACATCACAGAAGGCAGTGCCATCTCCTCCACGCTCATCATCCACCTTGAAGAGCCAGCGCTGCACCTCCAGATTGTCCAGGATGAGCTGGCTGAGAGCACGGAGCAGCTGCAGAGCAAGGACACAAAATCCTTCACATGGGACAGCACAAAAATGCTCCTCACACTTCCAGCTCCCATTTATTTATCTGGGACATTTATTAACGTTTATTTTACCTGAATATGTGTGGGAAATGGATTTGTAGAGAAAGCCTGACAGAAGGCACACATGCTGTGATGACTTAGTTAGATGGCTGATTTGAAATACAAAGTTTTGCTCCTTTGGCTGAAGGAGCTTTACAAAATAAGTTTATTTACACTGATAATTATAGTGACAATGTTAATAATGTCCTGTGTACTTCTCTGTGCACAGCAATCAACAGACAAAGCCATCAAAGAAATTTTTTTCTGTTCAAAAGAGAGGGGGAAATGTGGGAAATGGATTTGTACAAAATTCTCAAAGCCTGACAGAAGACACGTAGTGTGCATCTGTAGGCAAACCTTGAGATAAGAAATGCTGATTTAGAAATGCCATGGAATAGGACAGACATTGCTGAGAGAGAAAAGGAACTAGAAAAAGTTTCAAAGGATGGCCTTGCAAATAAAACTAGATATTTTAGAGAAATAGAACTTAGAAAGATGCATTGTAGCAGGACCCACAAAGGGTAATTTTAGATTATTGGCTTTAAGGCATTTACAGCATGGTGTGGCTAAAACTGATAGGCCAAGAAAGACTTAAAATGTAATTAGGAAACAGTTGGTTTTTGATTGTGGTGGTGTGAATTAAAATAACATCTGTATTGTCTCACCCTTCTCATGAGACTGAAAATGGAATAAAAGTTTTTAGACACCTCTCAGTTGCCCCATGTGTGGGTCAGGAAAGGCCACAATCCAAAAATATGGTTCCATTTTCTCAGAGGTGTTTGTGTTGCTGCAGCTGCTGGGTATGGATTGAAAGCAGCCTTGGAAGACTCCGTGGCCTTCATCCCTGCCTTTGGCACAGAGGAATTTGCCTGCCCAGGTGTTGTTTTTTGGGTTTTGTCTGAGGTTTTGGATCACCAGAAGTGCTCCATAAATGGGATGGACGATGCTATTTGCAAAAATGTGCCAGGGTAACACCAGCCAAAACAGCTGGGAAATTTTCCTACTGGAGAGTGCATTCCATGGTTATAAATGCACGGAGGAGGTACCAGGCAGGCTTTATAAAAATGCTAATTATTTATTTGTGTATGTACACAGATTTAAATGGCTTTCAAATGCCTTTTGCCCAGCTGGTGCAGGATGCAATTAGCTTCTTAGAAACTGCAAATGACTTTGAACCTGGTAAACGTATTCTCAGATCTTGTTGCATTGGCTGGAGTCTTCCACATTTTACAGAGTAATTTGAGGGATTTTTGTTTCTTTTTTTTTTTTTTTAAAGATTGACCTAAAATACAATTACATGTGTTCCATTTGTGGCTTTTGAGAATCACATAAATGTGTTTTTCTTGAGGGCTCCCCCTACAATAATGAAAAGGATCAATAATCCTGTAAGGACTGTACCAATCACAAAGAATTATGGGCTATCTTTAAGTGAAAATTGAATTGTGCTTTACCATGGTGTCACCTCGCTTTGATTATTTAACCTAAAATGTCAATATTTCATACAAGCAAACAACAGAAGGAGAAATTCCATAACCCTGCAGGATGAACCAGAAGTATTGTTAAATAATTTACGTAAATCAAATAAATCAAACAGCTGTTTTGCAGGTCATTGATCATATATTTATTTCATCTACTGGAGAAGTTGCAATGGATTTGTGTAGCTTAGACTGTTCAGTGCTAAAGGTGATTAATAAAAACTAAAGCAATGTGAAAAGCCTCTTGAAGAAACAGGAGCACCTACAAAAACCCTTAGCAATGATTATTTCCCTGGATGAGAAGTAACACCACCATAAAAATGTTGCTTTTTAAAAATAAATACTTAGACATATCATTGTAAATTGCAAAATCAGCTTAGAGAATAAAATACTGAGGAACTGGCTGCAAAATAAACATGCAAAATGAAAGTACAGAAACCTCTTGTGCCTCGTAATTCCAGTTCAATGGGGGTTTGATATTTTCCTACTGGCCATGCCAACAAGAGAGATGAATTTAGCCATGACAGGCTGGGCACAAAGTAAAACTGCAAAGATGCTCAGTGAACCTCAGTGGGAACAGGCTGATTGAAGGGGGGATTTCTTCCCTTAGAACAAGCATTTTTGCAAAATGTGCATCTTCAGCCACTGGTAAAATGGATTCATTTCATGATTTCACCCACAGGGCACCAGCACAAACTGTCTCAAATATTGGACCAAACACTTTTATATCCTCAAGCCCATGAAGAACCCCAGGGTAATTGTGTTCCTTCCTGCCTTGGGCAAACTGCATTTAATTGAGCCAAAAAAGGACCCAACCTCACCCAAGACTTGATCAAACCCACGAGAGTTTGGGAGTTATTACTGGAAAAATAGTTGGGAGTTACTATTAAAAAAATAACCCAGCATCCAGAAAAAAAGCTGCTATGACTATGAAAGTTCAGTTAAAAAAGAAAAATAAAAAGCAAAAACAGCAACAGGGCTTCAAGCAAAACCCCTAAATGTGCCACAAAGTTTGCTAAAAATCAAACCCAAGACGCTGTAGGTTTAATATTTGCAATATGAAACTATTGCTCATTGATGAGGGTCTGCTCAGTGGAGTTACTGGAATGACCAAACCCCGACCCCAGCAGCTCACCTGCTCCCTGCTGTGGATGTCCTGCTCTCCAGGAGGGGTTGGCACCCCAGCACTGGCAAAGATTCTCTTGCTGCCAGACTTGGTGCTGTAGAGCTGAGCCACTGCTGGCTCTGGGCCCAAAAGTGGCACCTGGAGCTGGTCAGCCACTGCCAAATCATCCAGGTGAGGAACACCCCCAACCACGTAGGCATCCCTGCCCTGGAGCAGAGCCTGGAGCCTCTGCAGGGTCCTGGGGCTGTACTTGAGCACAGTGGCCAGGCACAAGTGATGCTCCTGAAAAAAGAGAACATTTATTCTTATGAAAAGTGGGGTTTTTTGTTGATTTTTTTTTTCTTCCCCTAATTCCTAATGTTGCCCACAATAAATACATTATTAATAGCAGGCTGGGTTATGACCTATCCTGTAGCTTAGCCGTTTAAATTGATAAAAGCTGTTGGGGTGAGGCTCCATAATCGTGCACATCTTTAGTGGGTTGGAAATGGCCTCGTTGGGAATAGAACTAATTACTACACATCTGTATTTATTTGATCCGTGTGGAATTATCCTTCTGTCAGGCACAGAGGCTGCTGGCCTTTGGATAATAGTGATTCATCTCAGCAACACTCCTGGCATGGTTTAACTCCAGAGCTCCTAAAAATCAATAAAAAAATGAAGAATCCCCGCCCCCCCCCATAGCAGGGAATGTGTTTCCCACACAGTTCAGTGGTATTTGAAGTGATTCTCTGAGAATAAAACACTTTGATTTACAAAAGCTTTCAGTGCTTACGTTAAATTACTGGGGATGCACATTTCCATTTCACAGGAGCTCTGATTGCTGATCTAAAGGACCACTTAAGGAGAGTGGAGCAGTTTTGTGTAGTTTTTTTATGCTTAAAATAAAAAGGTTCCAACTTTTTGGAAGGAATTTCTCATTTTTTCCCAAAAAAAGATCTATTGCTGAACAAGCAGCTCATGACATATCCTGTAAGATCTGAATTTAAATTAAGAATATCACTCATGGCTGGTGAAACCTCAAAGATGTTTTAAACAACATATCCCATGAATGGCCTGCATATATTCCAATTCTTTTCCCAAAAATATACTGAGGATGACACAGGGATGAAGAAACTGCACAAGAGAAATCCACTGCAATAAATTATCATGGACAAATCATAATCCCAGCAAGGAGAAAATCATCTTCCTATTGAGATTTCATCTCATTTAGGCCTCAGGAATTTTCAGGATAATGTAAATCCTGGATTTGCCAGGGATTTCCAGCAATGAAGAACACAGAATATTTTCCTTCCAAGTCCTGGATGTTCGTTGCCAGGAACTGAAGTAGAAATGCTGATTTCATTGTTTGGATAGGGAGGATGATGCTGGAAAAGAACACATAGAATCCCCTTCTGTCAGTCCCTTGGTGCTTTCTCACACCCAACACAGCTCCAAAAAGTGCCCAAATCTCTCTGTGAAGGATTTGGGCACACTGCAAGGACAGCAGGAAGGGACACTCCCCAAAGCTCCAGCAGAAAAAAGAGAATTACAGAGGTTTAAGGATGAAAAGAACAGCAAACAAGTTACCTGGAGCCCTTTGGGTTTTAAAGCCAAGACACTTCAAGCTGTGATCCATGGATTCCCTTTACTGAGCACTGGTGCAAAGCAGGGAGCTCCCTGCCCATCCCAGAGTTCTGCATGCAGGGAACAGGATCCATTCCCAGCCTGGGGCCACAGTGGGGTTGTAGGGAGGACATTTGCTTTGTGACCCTCAAGAATGGATTTTACAATGAATTAAGGAGGCCAGGATGTAAAAGCTGCCTCATTCCTGCTTTTTGAGAGTGCTAGAGCTGCCAGAGTATGTGGGAGTGGGAGGGAGAGCAGGGAAAAGCAGAACTGAGGGATTGCAGCAGGAACAGGGGATGTGGGATTAACCAAAGTTCTGGGCTCTCAAACCTTTGATTTCTGTTTTGTTTTCAGCTTCCCAAGATCCCAGATCTGACCTTGGCATCAGGATCACCAGGAGAGCAAAGCTGCCTCCACTTGGACACCCCTCAAGTGCAGGATCAGGACCAACTGTGCCTTTTCCACACATTCTCCTTCCATCCAGTTCCACCAAAACAGCTGGGAAAACGTGCAAGGCTGAATTGTGCCTCTGGAATTGCTAAAAGGAGCCCTCTGAAGTGGCCTTCAAGCCACACTTTCATTGATTGGGAATAAATTTCAATCCATTAGGTGCAATAAAAGCTTTTTATTCAATAACCCAGGAGAATGATCTTTTAAAAGAGCTTAGAAAGCTCAAACCCTTACACAGCCCAAATTGGCACTGAAGCCAAGGGATGACCAGGAGCAGTTCAGGGCAGATTCCTCTCCACACAGAGGATGCATTCATTAAAAATGTTAATTATTATATGGTAAAGAACACATATTAAATGAAAACAAGGTGGATTTTGCACATTAACGGGTGAATGGCACTAAAGAGCCATGAGTTACCTCAACCTGGTTCACATAAAATCTGGTGGTGCCAATTCTCCTGACAGATTTTGGCATTAATTCATAGTTGAGAGTCACTATTGGAAAAATCACCCAGCATCCAGAGAAAAAAAACCTGCTATGACTGTCAACGTGCAATGTAAAAAGAAAAAAATAGCAAAACCAGCAGCAGAGCTTCAAGCAAAGCCCTCAAATGTGCCACAAAGTTTGCTGAAAATCAAATCCCAGCCAAGACACTATAGGTTTAATATTCACAATATAAAACTATTATTCACTGTGAAGTCTCCACTGCACTGCAGCATTTTCACAAGCACTGTACACACTGTACATTAATTGGAACATGTTTAGCACATGGATTTAAACCTGACTTGACAGGTTTAGAACCAATATTTCTCTATTATTAATTATTAGTCTGGAATCTACTCTATTATTATTATCACTTTTGTATTATTGGAGCTCATTATTTATGTATTATTCTGATCTGTTTGAAACTCAGATTTCTGTATTATTACCTAACTTTGTTTAAGCCTTGTTCTTTAAGGAGCTCTGCACTGGATCTAGTTGCAAGAGCCACTGCAAACACAGGAATGATTGAATGCTGGGCTAGCCAGAGATAAAGTTTGAGTAATAAGAATGGTTTATTGCTAGGATTTGCTTAGAGATATAAATCTATCAAGTTCCCAGTCCCAAGCACGGAGTCAGAAGGGACGAGAGCCTACAAATAGCCAATCTAGGACTATCTCAAGTAAGACTATAAACCTAAATCAGGATATTTATTTCCAATGCTCTAACTAGTAGTCTAATCAGTAAAGCCCTTAAACTTGCAATAATATTTCACTGATGTGCACCAGAGCGTTGCAAGTTATAAAATTTCCAATTTAATTTTACTGCATCCCTCAAGCTGTAGTAATTAGAAGACAAACTCACAGGGAAGCTGTTTATAGCTTCAGGGGTGAGAATTTTGAACCTGTCCTGCAGGTCAGTCATGTCCTCAGGGTTCCCAGATCTAACAGCTGCCTGCAGACCCAGGAGTTTATTGTAATACTGCAGTAACTCCTCACTCAGAGCAAGGGGGCAGATGTAGATGACGTCCACGTTGGCATCTGAAACAAAGGGGCACAGTGCTCACTGCTGGGAGAAAGGTACAACACTCCCAACAGCAACCCCAGCATCCCCAACCCTCTGCTCACCAACAGCTCTCCTCAAAAAGCACTGCAAAAAAAGAAAAAGGAGGTTTAGTTCCCAAATCTTAGGGCTTTTGGCTGTGCTTCAGCATTTCTCTGAAGACAGGGCAGTGACCCAAAGGAAGAGCTGCTTCCTGGTATTTGGTGTGCAGAACATATTGGGGCAGGATTTGGGAAGTGGTGCAGGGGGGTTTGTGAGCCCAACTCCCATTAACATCAATGGGAATTGAACAGCCTTAAAAATATATCCCATTAATGCCAGTAAATTATAAAACTGAGCCATTCAGTCGAGAAAGCTGAGGAAATTGCAATTTTCTACGCTGCCTGGATTTTCCATGGGCTGTTCCTGCTCCTGTGCTGCCCACACAAAAGCTCAGGGTGGGGTATCATTAATAACCATTGCTGGGCATGGCAGTGTGCAGGGCAGCACGGTGTGGAAATCTGCTTTTCCTCATGGAAAACAGCTTGGGCTGAAGGGCTGTGTCCACACAGAAGGGAAATCTGTTATACAGGCAGATTGGGAACATTTTAACCACTCTGTTCTGCTAAAATATTAATGGTAATAGATGAGCTAATGAATTAATGGGCCTTGAGGCAAAGAGCACTCCAAGATTTTGATCCAAATAAAAATGGGAAGCCTTGCATTGTTTTATTAAGCACAAGTGCCAGGGATAACTGCTATTCCATGGAATGACTGCAGCAAAGCAAGGACTGGACAAGGAAACCCTTTGAAATGAATAAGAGATCCCATTGCTTGATTTTGTTTTGCCAGAGCTGCAGGGAAGTAATCCACATTTAAAAAGTGAGGCCAGAACTCACCTGAGGCATTGAAGTACCACAAAACCCACAATCAGAGTCTTTGTATAATTATTTACCAGAAAACTTTTAAAAATAACTAATAGAAGAGTTCAGCACCAGTCAATACTCAAGTGAAAAACTGACAACTCAAGTGAGTTTGGGGAATAAAAAGCTGCAGCACATTTTACTGCTGTAGCACTGTTCTAAAAAGAGAGAGAAAGTCTCCTCAGGACACAGTGGGACTCTAGGGAAAGCTTAACTCACAGGAGGTCACAGCCAGCGAGGAAATCCTCTGCTTTTCCAAAGAAAAACCGAACCAAAATGGAAAATCTCAGTGCTCCTCTGCCTGGCACAGGTAAAGCACGTGATCCAGTCCATAATTTAGTTAATATTTCACTAGTTTGTATCTTCCTCATGGTATATTTCAGAGCAGAACCAATTTTTATGTTCAGAAATCAGTAAAGTCTGTTTAATGTGTGACTTTGTCCCTTTAAGTTACTATCATTTAAAAATCCATGTTAAAAAAAAAGAAAAAAACTTAAAAACAGTACAGTGAAAAAAACCAGTATTAGTGCCTAGATTATATATAAAGGCAATTACATTATTATTTTAGGCAACTGTAAATTTCTGGATCTAATATATTTTTGTTCCAAACTTACTAAGTGGCATTTATAAAATAATCATGATCCTGAAATATACATGAATCATGTAAAATATGTCATTCCAGGAAGCCAATGAAGTTGGTCACTGCTAAATAACATCCTTCCCTGCTTTGCTTAAAAGAAGCAAAGAAGAATCAGAAAAAAAAAATTAAATTTAAATAGATGACTTTTGCTTCATTTGCTGATTTAAAAGGAAATAAAAATGGGTTTAAATAAGACTGTTTTGCAGCACATCTTTGTGTGAGCATGAGTGAGCTCCCTCATTTTGGAGAGCACTGAACACTCAGGGGATGAGGCTGCTCCACCTCTGCAGAGGATTTTTTATGGATAACAAGGCCAGGAAATGCCACAATTCCTTCTCAGCTTCTCCATGCTCTATATTTAATATTAATACCAAAATGAAGTCCTTGTGTTGTTTTCTTTCAGTGCCAGCTGGGGGAATAATCAGAAAGAGGAGCTGATCACATACCCAGGATGTCACAGAGCCTCCCCATCTGCAGGTTCTGCTGGAGAGCAAGGTCAGGGATGTGCTCACGAATACGCTGGGAATATCCTGGAAAACAAGGAAATCTCCCCTCAAACTGCAGTCAGAAAACCCCTGGTACAGATCTGGAAAAAAAAAATCAGATTTCTGGATTCAAAGAAGCTGAAAAAAACCCCTTATTTCAAATTTCACAGCACTCATTGCAGCATTTTTCTGAATTTACTTTTATTACTGATGTAACTTCATGTTTTTCTCTCATTTTAAATACAGACCTGAATGTTACAGCCCTACAGAGTTTTCTAATTTAAACATGCAGACCATTTTGCTGGGAGTCTTTCATGTTGCTGGATAATTTATTTATTTTTTTTTTGTAAACACTGGGGGAGGGAAAAAAAAAATGACACCATCATTAAGCAAGAATCCTGGTAATTTTGTCCTTCACACAGATAAAAGGCACCAAAGCCACTTCATTAAGGAGATGTCTCAGTGCTACCTGCTCACTTTGTTGCAGAGGAAAGGTGAGTGACAGCCTGTCTGAGCCTGGATTATCTCTTTGCAGGTCACAATTCCAGCTGATTCCATGTTCACGTTCAAAAAGACTGCAGGAAATGACAGCAGCACTGTAACTATAATTTTTAAGGCTATAATTTTCAAATTGGTGGAATTCCAAAGGAATTGTGGTGTCTGTGCAAACAGCCACAGCTCTGCTGGCAGTCACCACCAGGGATATTAATTGTTTAAGCCATCAGGATTAATCCCAATTTTCAGTGTTTGGCAGGAAAACTTGACTGATCCAGGAACAAGATCTTTACATTTCCATGTATCTGCACATGGAAAATCATCAGAAACTCAGGGAAAACTTAATTTGGCTAAAATCTGTTCAGTATTTCAGTGCTTTCATGTAGAAAACAGCAAAGTGGATATTTCAGCCTAATTACAAAGACAATTACTACAATTGATCAGCATTCTAAGGTGCTGTAGCAATTGCACACAGAATATGAGAAAATACAGAGAAATTTAAATTACCAGTTTAATTTTTGGTCATTTCTCACCAAACTTACATATTGCAGTCAGCACAGTGGTATGAGGCACTTGGAGAACTCATCTAAGTGAAATATATTGATTTTATTTTTTTTTACTCCTCTAGCATTAAGCTACAGTAATTAGAAAAAAGCTTTGTCTGAGTATTTAAACTTTAGTCTCAAGGCTTCATTTTGTTCTCTCATCCAATTTTAAGGCACTAAAAATGCTGCCTAATATTTTCAAACCATTTAAAAGTCAACCTCAGAATGCAGCTGATTTCCTTACCTTGAAAACATTGGGTTTTAAAAACTAGGCCATAAAATAACATGCAAATATCACTTGGAAAACCAATAATTATTTGAAAGTAATAAGAAAGTGGCAATTAAATAAGTAAAAATTTGCATTTTGCTCAGGGTCTGCCGAGGCAGTGTTGTAGCACTGTACTTTTCACAGAGAGGTTAATAAAACATATGGAGTGACAATATATATTAACTTCCACTGGCATGACCCCATTAGGTTTAATGAGGAATATTCATATTAATGAGGAATATTCACTGCTGGTGAATCCTTGCCCTCCCACTGGACAGGATGAACCACATTCCTCCTGACCCACCTTGAGCATTCCATACTCCAACACTGGACACCTGATAAAGCTGATTAAAGGGTTAATACTCCTCTTCTTCCAGTTTAAACAAAACCCAGGCCAAATAAATTCAATATATTGTGATCACAGGCTGCATGTTCCATGTGCCATCAGTTCTGGTTCCTAATCCAGACTCCAGGCTGGGCAAGAAATTCCAAATGGTGGCTGGAATTTGGGATGTGGACAAAGGAACACTTGGGAATGGGGTTGGGTTTGGCATTCATGACTCCAAAGTGCAGGGAGAAGTGCTAAAATAAGAGGAATCCATTAATTCCCCTTTCAACCTCAGCCATGACCCTTTAATTGCCATTTCCTTAATGAATTCTGCTCATCTCCAAGTGGCTTCTCCCAACAAAGAATCCCCAAAGGCTCCTTGGAGAAAAGGAACAGCAGAGAGGGGGACAGGACACAGAGGTTGATGGGCAGGATCTGAAGGGGAAGAAGGAAAACGAGCTGGGATCCCTCACCCTGGACCTGGGACAGCTCTAGGAAATAACAGCCAAGCTTTCATAAATAGAACTGAATTTTTCTCTCTGTGTTTGGCACACATTTGTGGCAGTAAATCTGATTTAAAGGTTCAAATTCACTTCTCCTAACTCTGCCTGACAACAATCCTTAAACACTGTTTTTTTTTAGCTATCCTAGAAATCCCAAGTTTTTGTTTGGGTGAAATAAATGGAACCATTTGCTCCTCCCAGCAGTGCAATTTAAGCCCTTCACCATCCCTTTTCCTGGATTATTTCCAGACACTTGACATGAATCTGAAACTGTTGTGAAAAGAGAAATTCACCCTCCTGGCTCTATCACCATCCTTGGAATTCCACCTGCAAGGGAAGAAAAATCAGACTCTGATTTATCCCAGATGCTGAAATCAAGGACACTGAGCAGAGAATTTCAGGTTTTATTTTTGATTTACAAAACTGAACAGAGAAATCACCGAGTGTCATCAAACTGGTGTCTTCTTGTTTATCTGCTCTGCCCCAGGTTTTGTAGCTTAAATTTTTTTTTATGGTAGCAAAAGGCAGTAAAAAATAAAAATACTGCTGAAATCACCTGGCATTTTACATATTTAGTCCTTTTTGACTGAGCCAAATGTTTGTTGTTTAAATTTTCCAGCTTCCTCTAAGTCTACTTTAATAATTCTTTATTTTAAATTATCAAATGTGCAGGAGCAGAATAATTAAACATAAAAAAATTTATTGTTAGATTTAAAAAGTTTTTAGTGTAGGGATTTTAGGTTTTCACCTTTTAAAATTTTAAATAGTAGCTGTTCTTAAAATTAGATCAAACCAAAATTGCTCAATGTTAAGAATTTTTTGTTGCTGTTTCTCAAAATCAGTCTAAATCTTAAAGTTTCAAAAGAAGGAAAAAACCCCAAATATTTCCATTACATTTTAATAAGCTTCTCATGATTTAATCCATG